CCCAGATGTTTGGAGCTCATAATTAAGCAGCGGGGACGCTGATCTGCATTAGGGAGTGTCCGAGCCCGGGCACAGCCAGGGTTCTGGTTGCACATACACCTCACAGCCCCACACAATCAGCTGTGCACACGCAAGAGCAACGGGGGCGAAGACAAAAGTGCCCGAGCGGTTTCAGAAGAGAATGCCCGGGCTTGGTTAGCGCGTCCTCATTTAAAATGGAATTAGAGGGCTGGAGCAATGGCGGCTCACAACTGCCTGTAACAACACCACCAGGGGATCTGACACCCTTTTCTAGCTTCCAAGTACACTGCATTCATGTGCACACATGTGATTTAAAAAGAGAGAAAAGGGAAGCGATGGTGTAAAAGCTCCAGTCCTGCAACTTTAGTTACGGGAAGGCATGTGGTAGAGGTGGGGGAGCACGGGACTGCTTGCTGAGTCGTTGTGAGGCTGTGTTGGAAAACAGTGCCACCCACTGCCCTCGGGACTACACAGCTTCCTTTCCTGAGAAGAAACAGCAGCAGAGCCAGAAAGCGGTTGCTTTGAAGATCCTCTCAAGACAGAGATACTCTTCTTTGATTAACTGCGGTTTTGTGGAGACTGTCCAGCCTGAGGCTGAATCGTTACTGTGAACTCACACCGTCCAGTTATAATTAGTGACCCCTCAATCCCAGTATCGTTTAGAAACTCGGGTAACAACCAGGCCTGACTGTTCCCGTGCTCTCTGCTACTGCTCAGCTCAGGCTGGGGACACAAGACTGAAGTAAAAATCCATATGCTTTCCACCCGCACAACCACCTCACCTCTCCTTGGAGCTGGGCAAGTCTGTTGTGTATATGTTGTGTATAAGTGATACCATGAAAGGTAGGGCTGTGGCCAACGCTCACTTAGGGTTCAGGCGGGTGTCTTAGTCAGGTTTCTCATAAACAGGAGAATTAAGGATGAGATATGCAGAAGTCCAACAAATGGACCACAAAATCCTCCTGCCTCCATGGTCACATCCAGCCAGAGAGAATACTAATCAAGCCGCAATAAAAGTAGAGGCAATTACCTTTGTACCACAATTCATCTTAAAAGCCAAGAAACATCCATCAGCCGGCAACCCTGATGGTGTCAGCGGGGAAAATTACATAAGTGCTATTAACATTATCCAAGCAGCACACGAAAACTGTTCCCATCATTCCAATGAGCCACTTGCTAACACAAAGAAACCTCCTTAGCAAAGCGCCTTCTAAGCAAGCACTGTTCACATGAACTACCTTAACTAGAGATTCCAAATGCTCCCCCTCTCAGGAGCACATCAGAACCACTTGGAAGCCGGGTTAAGCACTCAACACCTGGGCTCCAGTTCCACACATTCCTATTGCTCCACTCTAGTGAGAAAGACCCAGGCCAGGCCCCTGTGATAGAAACTCTACCAGGCAGTTCTAATGTTCGCTCAATCACCTGCAGCTTCAAGGGCCCTCTAACACCACTGTCTGTAGCTCAGCCTCAACTGTTTCACCCCAAACTTCTGGGGGGTCTTAGTCTACATTTTGCCCCTGTCACAGGATGCCTGAGAAAGGATAGTTTATAAAGAGCACTTACTGCTTTCAGATCGGAGAACTCACAGCCTTTATGTTGCATGGTTGAAGGCTGGGAGGGCAAGAGCTCATCGGCCAAGCCGCAAACTTTTATAATCGGCATGAGTCCACTCAGGAGGATGGTGCTCTCATGACCAACTCCAACAAGCCCCACCCAATACTGCTACACTGGACTTGCCTGGAGGACACACTTGGAAGCCAGGATAGATTCTTAACCTCTAATGACTGGAGACGTCCCATCGACTCCAGGGTTGTATTATGGTTCTCTAAGGAACAGAATAGAGAGAATAAATGTGCATAAGAGGACTTCTTAGCTTGGCTTACATCATAATCTGGGTATTCTGACACTTTGTTTCACATTGGACACTAAAAATCTAGCTGTTCAGTCCACAAGGCTGGATGTCTCAGCAGTCAGAGCTGGGCTCCGGGGGTCTGGAGGATTCCTGGAGAGCTCTAATGCAGCGGCAACACATTTGAAAGATGAACTTGCCAGAAGGGAAGGCAAGCAGACAAAAGCAGCCTTCTTCCACATCCGTCCACATATGGGCTGACACCGTGGGCTTCCCACTTCAAACACCCAAGGAAGTCCTTCAGAGCAGAGCTAGCAGCTTGTGCTGTTGTCAGCTCCAGGTCCTGTCAAGTTGACAACCAAGACTAGCCCCCACAAGGGTCCCTGCTGCTTCGGAGGTTCCATTTAACCCAGTGCAAGAGGGAGTGTTACCGTGTGTGCTGCTCACTGGGAGATTCAACCTTAGATGCTTTGCCACTCGGCAAAAACTTCCGACTGCGCAGTGTCTTCAGAACCCACCTCTCACCTCAGATGAAGCCCGAAGCTTGCAATAGGATGGTCAGCCCTGGTACAGGGACAGAATTCTTGGGACTTAAGGACTGACACAGTGCTGTGAATGGCTATTAAACTGTGCTGTAAAACATGAACTTCAGCTAGCATGCTTCCCAGCCACTCTACAACAAACCAGGTAAACGCCACCTCACACTCAGCACACCAACAAACATTCCTAAACAGTGAATGCTGAACTGAAACTGCTAAGTGAAAGCAGGTGTTGAGAAAATTTGGAATTCCCTGGGTACCCAGATTAGTCTTCATCTCAGGGTTAAATGGAAATAGGTCCTGAGGTACTGACATCCTAACTTTCGGGGTGGCTGCACTGGTTTTCCAAACCCTTCACTTCACTGCATTCGCTGCCTCAGAAAAAAGTCACAGGAGTCCACTCCCATCAAGAAAACTTCACCTGCTTCAAAACATCATCTTCCTGCCAACATCTCTTCCCCTGCTGGGTTCTTCATTGAGTAGGCTTACACTGAGGACCAGCTAGGAACCCAGCTATGCTATGTGCTGTTTAGGACAGAGCTCAAAGGCACGTGCCAGCACTTAACAGATCCATGTTGTTTTTCTCAGGGACCTGGAGAGATGCTCAGTAGTTAGAGCACTGGTGGAAAGCCAGAGGGCCGGGTTCAGTTCCCCAGGTCCAGGGATCTGATGCCTCTTCCGCCCTCTGTGGGTACTCACGCACATGGCACACAAACATACATGCAGGCAAAACACCCATATACACAAACTAAAATCTTTAAACAAATACAAGACAAAAATTTTAATATATTTTTACATCTTTTGAAAGAAATATTTGATGAGAAATGTTTTTCCCTGAACATGTGTCAGTTCTTCCGTTCAGTCAGTTTCTCCAAACTGACCACTTTCAAGGCAAAGCAGCAGGCTCCCAAGTTAGCAAGGTAGTAAAGCTAAGGTCCTAACACTGTACCATTTTTAAAACACTCAGTATGTCGCAAAAAGTGATTTCCCCTTGCAGACCACTATCCTATTCACATTAATATTGGCAACCACAAACACGGCACACTTCATCCACATGCACACAAAGGCAGGGCTGCAGAGATGCCCTAGCACGTAAAAGCACTTGCTGTTCTTGCAGAGAACCCCAGTCTCAATTCCCAACACCCACTTGGCAGTCCACCAGGCTGTAACTCCAGTTACAGGGGACCCAGCACCCTCTTGTGGCCTCTGAGGATACCAGGCTAATGTGTGTGGTGCACATACATACATATAAAAATAATACTTTTTTAAAAAATGAAACACAAAGGCAAAGAGTATTTAAGGTAGTTTCTAGTGAACACTTCTGAACCACATCTGACTCTGGAAGCCTTGAATTTACATAATTAAGTGTACTAATCAAGAGTGAAAAGCCACACTGTGGTGGCACACATCTCCATTCAGCACTCAGGGAGGCAGAGACAGTCATATCTGTGAGTTCTAGGAGAGCAGGGCTACCCTGTCTCAAAGAGAAAGAAAAGAGGGAAAAAAAGTCTTCCACTACTGTCTAGAGATAGACCCACATTTTCACTATCTAGTTAAATGCAAGACTGGGGCTGGTAAGGCAGCTCAGTGCGTAAAGGAACTGGTAATCTGAGTTCCCCAACTCCCTTAAGTTGTCCTCTACCCTTCACAAATGTGACACACTCACACACAAATAAGCATTAACAAAAACAGGTGTTAGGCGTGGTGACCCACACCTTTAACTCCAGAACTCACGAAGCAGGAGGAGGCAGATCTCTACAGCATGGTCTACACAGAAAGATCCATATTAGCTAAGGACACATAATGAGACCATGTCTCAAAAAAGCCAAGAAAAATATTAGCCACTGCATCAGGCCCGTGATGGTACATGTCTTTAATCCCAGCACTCAGGAAGGCAGAAACAGGAAGATTACTATGAGGGCAGCCTGGTCTACAAATCCAATCCAGTCCTGGACAGCCAGGGCTACAAAGAGAAACCCTGTCTCAAAAAACAAACAAACAAACAAAAAAGATTAGCCATTACTTTGTAACAATATAATCCTAAAGATGTATAATGTTTTCTAAATGTGGTCCTATCAAAGTCAATATATAAGCTTAATATTGTTTTTCTTTTTTTCTGGTTTGTGTGTAGCCCTGGATGTCCTAGAACTCACTCTACAGATCAAGACTGCCTCGAACTCAGATATTCCTGTTTCTAGCTCCCCAGTGCTGGGATTAAAGGTAAGTGCCACCACTGTCCAGATGAGCTTAATTTTCTTAACATACTCATAATTTAACATAGTCACCAAGCCAGGCACAGTGGCCCACGACTGTGGTTCCAGCACTTGGGAGGCAGAGGCAGATCTCTGCGAGTTCCAGGCTAGCCTGGTCTACAAAGTGCGTCCAGGACAACCAGAGCTACACAGAGAAACCCTGTCTCAGAAAAGCAAAGCAAAGCAAAGCAAAACAAAACAAAAAATTACCAAGAAGTAAGACGAATGTATTTCCCTTTAATTAACTATACCTCCTACTTATGTGGGCAGAAGCTCTCTTCAAAAGAACAGACATGTAGTGCTTTTGTTTAGAACCTTTAAATAAATACATAGGCATTTACTTTAGAAAGGATTTTATTTACATACAAATAAGAGGCAGCATTCTACCCATAAATTCTATTTTCCAAAAACAAGAGTTTCTTTTTGTTTGGTTGAATTTTTAAAGAAAATTAAAAATGCTGGGTGTTATGATGATACACTTCCTTTAATCCCAGCACTCAGGAGGCAGAAGCAGAGGCAGGTGGATCTCCGGGAGTTCAAGGCAGCCTAGTCTACATAGTGAATTTCAAAACAGTCAGAGTTACAGAGAGACCCTGTCTCAAACAAACAAACAAAGAAAACCACACAATACATTCTGAAAGGCAACAGGATTCTTCTGCTTCTAGACCACTGCTGGGCTGGAGGGAGAGAGGGGTCTGCTGGGACAGAAGTCAAGATTTGTACTGAACATTCTCCAAAGCAAAATTAAGGTGCCATTCAGGCAAAGTTTATTCACGCCTCCCACCCCCAACACCACAGGTGCCGACTAGAATGGCTGAAGCAGGTCACGCGGCCCAACATAAAGCACCTGCATTACATGCAGCCATTATGCAATTCTACGAACCTACTGAACAGACTAGACCAAAACAAAAGAGACTGGGGTTGTCAAGAGAATAGTTCCTTGTGTGATCTCCACTCCAATAACCCAAACCAACAGACTATCCTAGTGCAAGAAGAATATTACATCATTACAAATTCCACGCTATCGAGATAATCAGTACAGAAATGTTGCCTGGTGTCATTATGAACCACTCAACCATGTCATACCCACAGTTCACACCTTAATCCACACACAAACATTTGTGTTTGTGTGAGCACAGCACAGTGAAGCAGAATGCTGAGCTGAGACCTCACATCCACAAAGGGATGCTTTTCCAAGCTGCAGCTTATGAGGGAAGGACGGGAACGACCTTTGTGTGAGGGACCTTATGTAACCAATCAATAACTTAGGAACCCACAGTCTCCACTGGTTTCCAGTGTGCATGGGGCTGGCTGCAGGCAGCACCATTAGGAAGCATCCTCCATGTCCACATCCTCCTGTAATTGCTGTACCATTTTCTCCTCCAGCTGCTTTCCTTTGCCTTTAAAAGATACAGAAGATACAATGTAAATAAATACAGTACTCATGTATAAGATTATCAAAAAGTAAACTCAAATTTAAATAGAAGGAAAATAAAAACCACAGGTCTTAAGCATGACCCTGCAGAACTGATTCCAGCACTCCACAAAGCATCCTGGCAGCCCTACAGTAGTAGCCATTTCTAAGGATTTAGGAATATTAGCCAAACTCACCCAGATTTATGAATGCACAAGCATTCTAAACACTTCTCATTGCCAACTTCTGCAAACTCAACTAAACCATGAGAAACCACAGACAGATACACAGGCCCTACATCACACTGCTAGTTTGAGTCCATAACCCAAAGCGAGGATGAGACCCTCAGCTACATGGGTACATGGTCCTCCTGACCAGGAGAGGGATACTGGGAATTAAAGGTATCAAGGTATCTGTTCCTTCTGGGCTCCAGGTCATTACATCAGAAACAAATGCCCCAGGGTTTGGTCTACTCTGTTCTGATGGAATTAGGCACAAACGGGAATGGGGCAGTCCCTACACATAAACCCAATCAAGACCTAATTACAGATCGAGTCAAAATTTTCCTCTTTCTCTGAGCAATCTGCATTAAGAAAAAATAAATTATGTAAGAGACTGTATTTGCTGCTGACTACGTAAAAGACTGGTGAAAAGCTGTGCACAAGAACAGCTAGCTGCCCAGGTAAGTGAGGCAAACAGGTTTCATTACAAAAAGTATTCCTGGAATGTGGAACCAGGATCACCTGGAGAGCCACCGAGGCCCTGGGCTTTGTGTTTATACTAAATTCCCCAGATTATTCCAATACAAGCCAAAGTTTGACAGTCAGTAACATGAAGTGTCTTTATCAAAAGTATGAGGCGAACATCAGCTATGCAATTATTGCACAAATGATTCTGTTTAACTTAAAAAGGCCATTTGTGAGAATGGAGGGAAGAAAGCCCATAAGCTACAGACTGCCCACAATGGACAGGCACTGAGTAAAAGGCACTTTTATAGACAGCCTGTATCATCAAAACCTAGAGACAATGTTTAAATGGAAGACACCTCCAGCAACTTAGCTGGGGCCCAATCACACCAACACCAAAACTCAGATTTCCTGTCTCTCTACTCACCTGCAAGAGGAGCCCGGATGAGATGGATGTTCTGCTTGACCTCTCTGACATCCTGAGCCTTCTGCAGCTCTTTGTTTTTCTTCAACCTGTGATGACATGCATCAAAGGCAAACATCAGTGAACGTCTGAGACTTGACTCCCACCACAGCATTCACTAATGACACTGGCTGCACAGGGCTAGGTGGGAATGCAAAGGGGTGGGCCTCCTTCTGCTTCTTCCTGTTCTCCCACCTCCCACTCAGCAACAACTGCTGCAGGTCACCAAGGAATCAACTGGTTCCCAAACCTTGTTTGTCCACAAATTAAGGCAAAGTCACCTGTTGAGCCCTTTCCAACATTCTCTTCCCTCATAATTATGTGTCAAACTATGTTCAAGTTCCTAATTAGCAGGCTTTGTATCCTAGCAACCTGTTCTCTGCACCCACTGTGCCTAGCATGTTGCAAGTGAGGCTCAATGCAAACCTGCTGACAGAACAAGGTCCTGACAGAGGACTCAGCAGATTGTCAGAGCCCTTTTCCATGGCACAGACATAAAGCTCTATCTCACAAGGCAGTCCCCCAAATGCCAGTGTGTGCGTCCTGCCTCTTCACAGAGCACAATCTCCGGGCTGTGTAGCTTTGTTAGTCAGTCAGCAATTGCAGGAGCACAAAACACAACACTCACCAGAAACCCTCACCGAGCTGTCCCCACGCACCCATGCTCATCTTCTGAAATGCCAGGAAACTGCCACAGAGTGCTCCTTTACTAAGCCTCATGTAAGACTAATTTTTACCACTGGCATGGCTCAGTGGGGAGAAGCACATGCTGCCAAGCCCAGTCACCAGAGTTCAATCCCTTGGATCCACACAGAACCAACTCCTGCAAGATGTCCTCTGAGCTCCACCTACATGCCATGGCATGTTTACACTTACTTACATACATACACACAAATTAAAAAAAATTTGGCTGGGTGTAGGGACAAAGTTTTTAATCCTAGCACACAGAGAGTAGAGGTAGATAGATGAGTTCCAGGTCAGAGAGAGCTATGCAGTAAGACCCTGTCTCAAAAGACAAAAAAATAAACAACCAAAAAAGAAAAAAAAAAAAAAAAGGAAGCTGGAGAGACGGCTCAGTGGTTAAGATCACTGGTTGCCCTTGCAGAGGACCTGGGTTCACTCCCCAGAGCCCCACATGATGGCTCACAACCATCATCTATGCAGGCAGTACACACACGGTGCACATACATACATTCAGGCAAAAACACTTTTAAACAAAATAAAAATAAACTTTTTTTTAATAACTAATCAACAGGGCCTGAAGAGATGCTCAGCGGTTGAGATGGCTACTCTTCCAGGGGTCCTGAGGCCAATTCCCACCAATGAGGTGATGGCTCATACCAAATGTAATGGGATCTGATTCCCTCTTCTGGGTGTGTGTGAACACAGATCACTCATGCACATACAAGTATTTTTAAAAGTTAACTAATGGATAGAAGTGAATTTCTCTGCTCTGAAGAGAGAGCTCATCCCTGGCCAGGACAGGGAAAGCATGTGAACTCTGAAGCTCTTGCTACCCATGAGACAACAAAGACCTAAAAGAACGAAGACGACTTGTCAACCCAAAACCGAGAGCCTAGGAACTCCCACCGGTCAAATGTGGGCCACATAAACATCAAAATAAACACGGTGATAAGAACACAGCCCACCAAACCACAGGAGTCCATGAAAACAGGTGCAGTATGATTACACGAATAAAGGAGAGACTCCAAAAGTGGAGAAAAGGGAAAGCTGTTTCATACATGAGACAGTTCACAATGACCGAGGCCAGACTCTCTTATGGAGGCTAAAAGCAAGAAGAACAAGTCTGAGTAACAAGCTCTTCCAGAATCTTCTCCATTATCAACTACCAGGAAAAACTCTAACTTTGTCCCGGAGAAACCCATAGACACCACAGTAACCAAGGAGTGAGAGTTAACAGTCACAGGATACATGAGCAAGGACACCGTGAAGACCGTGGCATTCCTTCCAAGGGCGTCTAACCTAAATCTAACCGTGAGGAGAAGCAGACAAACCTAAATGAAGAAACACTATATACAACAACCTGACTGGCATGTACTCTTCGAAAATGCCTGCGCCTGTAAGACAGAGCGAGACAGGACTGCCCGAGTGAAAGGAGCCTGAAAGCTTCGACCTGATGACTACGCAGGAGCAGAAGCAGGCTCCGCCGCTCACACAACAGTCCTGCATCCATGTCCGCCTCCTGATGTGACCGTGTTTAAGTAGAGAGGTGCCTACACTGGACGGATAACCTGAGGCACACAGGCAGGAAGGGCGCCTCTCCTCAGCTCACTGTTGTAGTGACAGAGTGAATGTAAAATGCAGAGAGAACGCACAAATGTTTCTGACACTATTTCCCTAGGTTTTTTTAAGTATGAAATTATGTCAAAATAAAAGGGTTTTAAAAATACCAATGCCTTTAGAAATCTCATAATTATTCCTCCACAAATACACATACCTGTTCATTATAAACTTAGCCTGGCGTTTCTGCTTGATCTCTTCAACTCTCTTCATTGCATCAACTATAAGAAAAATCACAAGTCAGCAAATTTACATACATTCAGGCAGTATGACTGTTACAAGGACTTTAACTATTTCTGCATGACTTTGGCTTAAAGGAAAAGGTTCACTACAGAACAATCACTACTGACAGAGCTATAAAGGTATGAGATGTTAGCTGTACTCGGGTTTATTAACTACATAAAACAGTTCAGGGGACGACAGACTCCCATATCATCTATGGGGAATACTTTCTTTTTTGTTGTTGTTGGTTTTTGTTTGTTTGTTTTGTTTTTCAAGACAGGGTTTCTCTGTGTCTTGGAACTCACACCTGCCTCTGCCTCCCAGAGCGCTGGGATTACAGGTGTGCGCCACCATGCCTGACTAATACAGCTTCATACAGCATTTCTGGATGTGGGAATAAGCCTGTAATACCTGAACTAACCAGCAAATAATGGAGGAGGGCAGGGACTGTGTATGATCGCCTGTATATGATCTACAAGCCTAAGGTTGCATAAAAGCACCCAGGGGAAGGAGTAAAGGCGGAGCAGGGGACCTGGCACACACAAAAATACTGCAACCTCAAAGAGTTCACAGTAGACACCCATAATACCAGCACTCGGAAACCAAGGCTGAGTTCAAGGCCAGCCAGGGCTTCCCAGCAAGATCCTCTTAAGAGGGAAAAGACGGAACCTTTTCCTCCCCTCAATTAAAGTCCCTACCTACTTCAGGGGAGGAAAAGAAAACTAGTGCTGAGCACTACTGCTTTCAACTTATGATCTGTAACTTACCCAAACAAGCATGTAAATGAACCCTTAAAATCTGTGCTGCTCGCCTCAAGCGTGGCACCTTCTCATCTGTGGAAGGCATACAGCAAACACCTAACCCTGGAGCAGCCAGTCTAGAATATGAGGTCTGTGAATTTCCTAACCACGTCTCGCTTCACATCCCCCTTATATATTCTTTCAAAACTTGTGGGTTTTATTTTGGGTGGGCACTTCAAGTTTAAAAATTATTTAGCCAATTTCTGATGTATCCAAATTCAGGCAAGTTCTAAAAGGTATCTGAAAACAATTTACAATTAAAGACAGAAACACTAACAAGACCATTAACATGAGATGAAAAAGAGCCAAGCAATGAAGTAAGTTTAGTATTTACACAACAAGGCAGCATTTAAAGTTACAGAACAGCCACAATAGTCTCCCCTGAACAGCTGCCACCCCAGGACTTACTGGTTTTATTCCATAGCTCTCGCTGGTATTTCACAGGTTCATTTCTACGTTTTTCAAATTCAAATGAGTTGTCCTGTAAGATGGAACAGAGGGTTGGTAAGAAAGCTGGTAAGCAAGCATTGTTTAAAATAGTCTCCTTTGCACAAAAATCCTACACGGGCGCATATTAAGACACCCTCCTTCTAATACTGGAGAATACTAACTTTCAACTAGTTAAAACAGCTCTCTTCTCAGGGGGATTCTTGGAGGGAAAGGAACATCACTTCCTCCCTCAGAGGCTATCGAACAACTGCGAGGATTATAAACAAACTGAAAGGGCTTCCCCAATTTCCAAGCTCCTGGTGAGAATCACATCCATTGTGATTCTCCAAGAATCTCCAAGAAACATCCATTGTATGAACCATTTTTCATAGCTCAAATCAAATAACAAGTGTGGTGGCAATAAAAATGTTTTTGTTTTGGTCCCAGGTGTGGAATGTGGGGCTGATTCAGATGGCCCACAGCAGCAGACTATTGGCCTCATGCGGGCTCTGAGAGGGGCTTTTTGCCAGCTGCAGACAGTTTAAATCTGAGGACTCTGGAGAGAGAATTAATGCCAGAGCTCAGAAAGTGTGGAGCTCTGAGAAAGAACAAGGCTGCTCCTGCTTCCCCCTTGCTGCTCCTGGTTGCAGTTGTGAGACAAGAATTTGGAGATTGAGGGGGCTGGAGAGATGGCTCAGCGGTTAAAAGCACTGTCTGCTCTTCCATAATGGTCCTGGGTTCAATTCCCAGCAACCACATGGTGGCTCCCAACCATCTATAATGAGATCTGGTGCCATCTTCTGATGTGTAGAGTACTTATGCAGGCAGAGTACTGTATTAATAATAAATACTGTATTAATAACAATTTTTTTTTAATTTTTTTGGCGATCTCCTCATAAGATTAGGCTGGCACCCAGGAACCCGACAACCCTAATCAGCAGGAAAGGCTAAGAGAGCTGTGCCTCCTCTCCCTCTAATCCTTTTTCTCCCCTTTGGGTATTAGTAGGGACTGGGATAGAGCAGGGAGGAAAAGATAAAAGAAATATAAGTAAGAATTCTTTAAAAAGTGTGCCAACAGCCAACAATTCATATTGTTTCCATCTAAGAGTCTGTTATAGTGAAAAGGTGCAGATATAAGCTTTGTGGCCAGGGGTCCTCCAAATGGGGGTACTAAGATAGTTAATAGCATTAATCTGAAGACATGCAAAAAAATTTGAAAAGGCTGTAGGTATGCCTTGGCTTTCAAGTGTAGCTGGTAGAAGCATACAGAGTATCAACTCTACACTATCTATTTCATTTACAAACATGAGATTTTCTTCGGCTCACAACTGGCTCAGCAGTAAGGCATCTGAGGGCTGGGGTTGAGGGGGAGCCAGACTGGCACCCCCTCTAGGGCATTCGTGGTGGTATCGGGCTGCTTCACCTACACTGAAGATTATATTTTAGAGAGTAACCAGGATTTGGCCTCAAATCCTGCAGCTGTGTTCACTAGATAGCTCTGCAACTGGGACCCAGGGAAGATAATACCTGTAAGCAACAGGAAGGAGGGAGAGGTCACAGGCTTAGGGAGAAGGGACAGCAACAGAGGCGCACAACAACTGAAAACATCTCCGTCCAGCAGAGGACAGCTACAGCTTCCGTCTTCTCCCTCTTCAGGGACGAAATGTGGACAAGTTTCAGGAGATCCTAGTATCAACTCTCTCAAGGCACCCCTTGGCTTCCCCCTAATACCAACACTCCTAGCTTCTGTTCGCTGACAGACTCCTACTGAGGACACACAGACAGCAGTCCTTGTCTGCTGTGAACCTCATCTGGGCCTCAGTGTTACTCAGGAGCACATTAGCTCATCTCCCAACCTCCTCCCAGTCCTTAAAGAGCACCTTCCTACTTCACCCAACTCATTAAAATGATTTTTCTTTTTCTTTGCAAAGGCCAAAAACAGTTTTATGGATCACTTTAAAAAAAAAAAAAAATCACTTCTACAAACTGGGTGGACGATTTTTCCCTTTTCAGAAGTCTACAGAACAATGGGTTTTAGGATCACATGAGAAAGAAACTTTCCACAGCCAAATACAGAAGCCCTGACAACCACGTGACAGGACCCCATCTCAGGCTGGGCGACCAGCAACTGTACTCACCACCGTGAGCTCTTTGCCAGCTGCTTTCCGGAAGGCTTTAGTCCACCTGACCTTGCGTGGGTTCCGCTTCTTCTTGAAGTTTTTATGACACTTGGATTTGCAGAATCGGAACACCTATAAGACACTGAATTAAAATGTTTCCATCACAGGATACACCTGCTAGCCAAACAACAAAAACAACAACAACAACAACAACAACAAACCTACTGTAAAGCCTGAGAAATGACAATGGCTCTCTTGCAGGACTCCTACTAACACCTGGAATCACATTCGACATCAGAACAGAGAGAAAGTCAAGTGTCTGGCAGGTCTCTTACACCATCCCTAACACACCCTAAGACTTGAAAACATAAACAATTACTAATCACTTTAGACATTAAGTGAAGTAATATTTCTTTTTATGGGGTGTTTTCTGCTTTTGTTTTATTTTATTTTTTCCAGACAGGGTTTCTTCTGTGTAGCACTGGCTGTCCTGGACTCGCTTGGTAGACCAGGCTGGCCTTGAACTTACAGAGATCTGACCGACTCTGCCTCCCTGAGTGCTGGGATTACAGGTGTGCACCACCACATGAAGGACCATTTCTAAGAAAAGGTCCTTAAATCCCTTTTCGATTTTTTTAATTCTCAAAATCACTTTCCTATATCCCCAGTGAGGTTGAGTTTTGAGCCACACTGAACTCCCATTTGCTTCCTTCTGTCATTCTGGTTGAAAACACAAAATACTTTCAAAAATAAAACTGCTAATAGGCCATTCTTCCTTCTCTTTTTCAGTGTCTATTTTATTATTAACTATGATTTACAGTTAACTGCTTTTTGGTTGTTCTGAAATAAAGTCGTACTGTTTAGTCCAGACTGGCCTGCAACTGGAATCCTCCTGCCTCAGCTTTCTACCTCCTCGGATTACAGACATTCGACATGCTGTGTGCTGGATGTGTTTTTAAAGATCATACTCACAGATCTGAGTCAGTCTTTACTATTTTAATTCCCCAAAGAAGCAGCAACTTTTAACTTACTTACACTTTAATATATTATAGATGATGAAGCTCTTTTAAGTCTAAGCTGGATTATTTTGTTACCTATAATGCCTTTAAAAATAATGCAATCTTGGGCTAGAGAGATGGCTCAGATATTAAGAGCACTGTTCACCCAGAGATCCCGAGCTCAATTCCCAGAAACCACATGGTGGCTCATAACCATCTATAATGAGATCTGGTGCCGTCTTCTGGTGTGCAAGTGTACACGTATCCAGAACATTGTATACATGGTAAATAAATAAAAATCTTAAAAAAAAAAACATAAAATAATGCAATCTGTGTGTGTTGCTGGAAGAAACATAAAAAGTAAGCCTTTAAGGGTAACAGGCAGTAGCAAAGAAAACTAAGTATCATAACTAAAATGTTTGACCCAGTCACAGGAGTTGAGAAGAATAGTACAAACCTACACTAAGAAAACCTGTGCAAGCCAGGCGTGGTGGCGCACACCTTCGATCCCAGCGCTTGGAAGGCAGAGGCAGTCTGGATCTCAGTGAGCTGAAAACCAGCTTGGTCTACATATTAAATTCCAGACCAGCCAGAAAAACCTAGTGAGAGACCCTGTCTTAAGGGGGAAAAAATTATGTAAGCATCACATTGAAGAGGAGGAGACAGGAGTCACCAGAAATGTGAGGAAATTCAACCAGCTAACAAGGACACCTACCAGAGTGACGAGCTAGGTGTCAGCGACAGAGAGTAATTCAAACCTAGTACTCTCTACCTTAGAAGGCCAGTCTCGTGTGGTGGCCTACTTTGCAAACAAGATTGAGGTCAGACCAGAACAAGATAAAACTACCCACAATAATGTACACACTAACAATGAAACAAGTATGAGAAATAAGTCCAAAATGAGAGACGGGGGAGGTGGTGGGCAGAGCTGCAGGAGGCAACATTCAGTCTCACATTTCCCTTTTGATCTCGTCCTGTCCAAGGGGATCACAAGCTTCCAGGGGGGTTTATATGCAGTTAACAGTAGCTCGGTGGGGGATGGGAGCCTTCATTTAGTATAGCCTAATAAGGTGCTATGCTCCTGTAAATAACTCCTCACCCATGCCCTCGTAAGTGACCTTAATGAAATCATTGCTTCAACAACAACAACAACCACAACAAAAAGGCATGAGACAGAAAGGGGGAGAAAGAGAAAGGGCCATTTCTCCCGGAAGATCAGGGAGAAGGTGAGAGTAAGCGGCTCAAATGTGAACAACGTTTATTATGCACGTGAAATTCTGAGAATTAGAGGAATGGGATTCATTCTCAAATAAGAGGACAGTGGATGTGCTACACAACAATACTGTCATAACTTCACCTGCTCCTTCGGAGACCCAACTTTTCCGTTCTGCACCTTCTACTCAAATTATGCATTCTCCTACACAGGATGCTCTCTTACCTCACAAGCAAAAATAAAAACACAGAACTAGGACAAGGGGGGAGGGCCGGAGTAGCCAGGAGGGGTGCTCCGAGGCTTCTTGAACCTGAGAACTAGAGAGGTCACGCTTTAAGAACTGCGAACCTGTCCTTCCCGAGTTTGGACCGTCCCTTGGTGACTGAAGGAGGCCTTCCCGAAGGTCTGAAGTGGGACAGTGAAGGCGGCGGAGGAAGCCAGTTCCCCAAAGACCCTCCGTGCTAAGCCTGTCCTCGCTCACCTGCAGCAACACTGCCCAGGCAACCATCTCCATCAACCTCGACAGACACTCCCACCTCCTACCGGTCCCCGTGCCCGGAAGTCAGCGGGAAGCCTGCTTAAGCGTTCGACCGACATCCTGATCCTGCGGCTGCCCAAGCGGCCTGGGGATGGGACCTGCGTCCGACCGCAGCGAGGAGACCTCGCCGGCAGGGATGTCAGGCCGGGACTCCAGCCCAGGCCACATCTGGGCGCTCAGCACCCAGCGGGAGCGCGCAGGCCACGGCCGCCTCACCTTGCAGTCGTTGCGGACGAACATCATACCGTGGCCAGGGTAGATCGGCCCGGAACAGAAATAACATTTCTCGATCCTCATGTTGACCCCGCGTGGGAGCCACCTTCCAGACGCCGAGCGCGAGAGGAAGCGGTACGTCACTTCCTGGCCGCCGGAAGCAATTCTCTGACCCGACCCGGAAGTGGTATATGGAATTCGACACGAGCGTAAAGGCACCTCCCGCCCGCCGTGTGCGCAGCGGAGTCGCGCGGGAGCACGAGTGCAAGCGGCCCAGCGTGTAGGCTGCACCTGCGTTTGTCGGGTGTGTTTTGTTTTTGACTCGTTTTTGACTCTGTTGTCCTGGGTCATCATAATGTGGTTTACTTGCTCAGTATGTGCACGAGGTGGGCGTGCAAAAGTTTTAGAACTGGAATTATAGATGGTTGTGAGTCTCCCTGTGGCTCCTGGAAATCGAACCCAAGTCTTTTGGAGAAGCAGCCAGTGCTGTTAGCCGCTCGGTCTTCTCTCCAGCACCTCATTCTGTGAGGTAGCCATCTTAACATGTAGCCCAGGGTTGCCTTGGAAACCAGAATCCCACCGCTATACTAGTAGGGGTGTGCCACCATGTTTACGTGTTGGTCACATATTGGAATATTTAAAAGATGTTCAGCATAGTGTTGCTGGGAGGTGGTGGCGCCAGTCTCGGCACTTGGGAGGCCTATTCGGGTCTAATGTGAGTTCCAGGACAGCTAAGGCTGCATAGGGAAACAGTGTCCCAAAAAACAAGCGGGGCGTGCTGGCACACTGGGAGGCAGAGGTTGGCAGATTGCTGTTAAGTTCCAGGCCAGCCTGGTCTACAAAGAGTCCAGGACACAAGGCTACACAGAGAAACCCTGTCTTAAAAAAAAAAAATCAAGGTGCTGGAGAGATGGCTCAGTGGTTAAGACCTCTTCCAGAGGTCCCCAGTTCAATTTCCAGCAACCACATAGTGGCTCACAACCACTTATAATGACACCAGATGCCTCCTTCTGGCATGCAAGCATATATGCAAACAGAGAACTCATTTGTAAACAATTACAAAAAAAAAAAATTTTTTTTTCAAAAAATACTGTTAAATTTCTAACTCAGGGTGGTGATGCGTGTCCTTAACAACTGCCCTCAAATGCAAAGCCTGGCTAGGGGAACCTCTATGGGCTCTCTCTACACCAGCCTGGTTCACTTAGCCAGTTTCAGGTCAACCGGAGCTACTTATTGAGTGAGGCCCAGTCAAAGAACTTTGTGGCTACCAGAACAATTAAAATGACATATGACCCGTATTGTGTGTCTCACACTGCCAGACAAAGCTATTCTACAGGCTTGCCTGCCCTTCCGTCCTGCTGGCCTGTGCCATCATCCACTTTTTTGTGTGCTAGGGTCAAACCCAAGGCCTTGAGCATCCTAGGCAAGTACTCTAACCACTGGCTGCATCCTCAAACCCTAAAGCCAGTCTTCTGTTCCTGAATTGACCTCACTGAATAGAATACCAAAATACTGGTGCCTTGGACCTCAGTTCACAAACAGGCTATGCAACTAAAGAATTGGGGGGGAGGGGGGGAAGAAGTGCATTCCTTTAATTCCAGCACTTGAGAGGCAAAGGCAGGTGGATCTCTACAAGTTCCAGGCCAGCCTTGTGGGGCAGGGTCGGGGATAGGTTGTCTTCCTAGTTAGGTGTGGTTTGTCAGAGGAAGTGTCCTGCTGGGGGTGGAACTTTGAGGTTTCAAAAACCCACACAGCATTCCCACTTAGCTCACTGACTTGGGCCAGTGGATCAGATGTAAACTTTCAGCTACTGCTCCAGTGACTCCCCTGTCCACCGCATTCTCCCTGCCATGGCAAGTCATGGACTCACCTTCGGAAACCGTGAGCCTGAATTGAACACTTGGTTCTGGAAGATGCCTTGGTTATGGTGTTTTCTCATGACAGTAGAAAAATAACTAAGACGCTTCCCAGCTCTTGCTGCGCCCTTTAGTTTGTGGACGGGTTTTTTGTTTTACATTTGTATGTAATGAACAGGTAGCCATGCTTACAGTCCTAGGTCCTTGGATAGCGGATACAGGAGGATTGCTCGTGTCCAGAAGTTTCTATTGCTGTGATAAAACACCATGATCAAAAGGGTCTCAGAGAACAAGCTTACGGCAGGAAGTCAGGGCATGAAGGAGTGCAGCTTATTGGCTTTCTCAGCCTCCTTTCTCAGGGCATCCAGGACCAGCAGCCCAGTGGTAGTACCGCCCACAGTAAGCTGGGCCCTTCCCCATCTATCAAGACATTGTACCACAGGCTTGTCCACAGGCCTGTTTGGTGGGGATGTTTTCTCAGGTGAGGTTGCCACTTCCTGTAACTGAGGTTACAGTTATGACTACAACTAGTGTCAAGCTGACGTGAAAACCAGCCAGCACAGACATCTTCAGAGACACAGCAAGATTCCATTGACAGTGAGAAGGTAGGTTGTGGGAGGGATGGATATTAATATGAAGGAGGAAAAAAAAAAAACAGATTAAAGAGGGGGAAGGGATATATTAATTTTAAACTCATTTAAAATTAATGTGTCTGAGGTTGGAGAGATGGTTCTGTGCTTAAGTGCAGCTGTTCTTGTGGAGAACCCAGATTTGGTTCCTAGAAGCACATGGCAACCAACAACCACCTGTAACTCCAGTTTCAAGGGATAAGCAGGTGTCTTCTGGCTGCCAGAGGCACTGCACTGCGCACACCTAGTACAAATACATACATACAGGCAAAACACTGAAACCCACAGAATTAAAAGTCTTGGGGCTGGAGAGATCTCAGCATGTAAGATCCCATAACTCAGTGGCCCACAGCTGTTTAATTCCAGCTGTAAAAGACTGGACTCTTTAGCCTCAACAGGCTAGAGACACACACATATAAAATATTGAGCCGGTGCCATGATGCACACCTGTCATCCCAGCACTCCGGAGGCAGAAGCATGGATCTCCTAGTTCAAGGCCAACCTGGTCTACTGAGAGTTCCAGGACAGCCGAGGCTACAAAAGATTTGTTTTGAAATAAATAAATAAATACTAAAATATTTAAATAATGTACATGTATACAGTTTCAGGAATACACCTCTCAGCCACGCCTTTCTTTTGGAAGCCATTCAAAGATAACGCCTGTCCCTCAGTTTCATACAACTTACTCTGGGCACATATGCATGTGAGTGTGCATGTGTGGGAGCTGGCTTCCTCCTTCTACCCTGTGCGTTCCAGAGACTGAACCCAGGCCTTCAGCCTTGGTAGCAGGCGCCTTCACCTGCAGCGTCATCTCTCTGGCCCCTCAACCAATTTTCTATGCATTTTAAGAAGCTGGTTCATTTATAAAAATAGAGAGTAGGCGTACCCTCTCAGATACTACACATTTTACAAAGCTGGGTAGTCAAAACGGGAGAGATTGAAAACAACATAAGAACTATACACATAAAACAAATTTGCAACCTTAAATCTTTGTAAGTGAAGGGGGAGATGATAAATCTTTCCATATTAATCGTTTTTAGGACAGTTTTGTATCCTAATAAATGTTAATGCACTCACTCATTCTTCAATGCTACAACATGGACACAGATTTGTGAGCACGAAGTAACTGCTGTGGTTAGATATCTGGAAACAAAGCAACACTCAGGAAGGGAAGCGTTGAAGTATCTCCTTCAGGGAACAAGGCTGTCCCTAAAGCACCAACAGAATTAGTAATTTCCGATGAAGAAATAAACGGCCTTGAAAAAACAAGGAACGCCAACAATCTTGACATGTTGGAAAACTTCAAAGGAGGCTGCTGAGCTCTACTGTGCATCAAGACAACTGTCATAAACCCAGTGCCCTGCACAGGCCAGACCGGTGTTCTGTCATCACTGTGGTACATCTTCAGCCTGTGATTTCTTTGGGAAAAAAAAGTCTAAGTTTTGAAGCATGTGTGTGTGTGGATCTGTGCACATGCGCTTGGAATGCCTCCAGAGTCCAGAAGACGGCGTTGGTTTTTCTGGAGCTGGAGTTACAGGCAATTTTGAGTCACCCAGTCTGGGTGGCTGGGAAGTGGATGCACTGTATGTGCTAAGCCACCTCTCCAACTCCTGCAGCAAGTTTAAAAATCAACACATTTCAAGCCAGGTGCTGATGGTGCTCGCCTTTAATCCCAGGGCGAGGGAGGCAGAAGCAGGTGGATCTCTGAGTTCAAGGCAAGGCTGCTCTACAGCCAGACATGGCTGCACAGAGAAACCCTGTCTCTTTACATATATAAATTTACATGTAAAGGACACATTTAAAGTATTTTTAGTTTTTCAAAACAGGGTTTCTCTGTGTGGCCCTAGCCATCTTGGAACTCTATAGACCAGCCTGACCTCAAACTCAAAGCCTGCCTTTGCCTCCTGAGTCCTGGGATTAAAGGTGCGTGCCAACACCAACCAATTTAAGATTTTCTTTAAAGGTCAGATGTACTGGACATAGTGGGCAGGTCTGTAATCCCATTATTCTTTCGAAGTGAGTGAGGATTTTTAGTCTAGCCTGAGCAACTTAGTGACATTATGTCTCAAAGTTTAAGGGCTGGATTAGTCCTGGAGTGTTGCCAAGCTTGTGCAAAGCCTTGGATCCATTCCCAGCACTGTATAAACCATGCATAGTAGCACACACCTATATCCCAGCACTTGGAAGTCGGAGGCAGGAGGATCAGAAATTCAATATCATTCTTTGCTACATAGTGAGTTTCCAGGTCAGCCTGGGCTAGAAGACCATGTCTCAAAAAAAGAAAAAAAATTGAGGGGGGTTGGCTGGAGAGATGGCTCAGAGGTTAAAACCACTGGCTGCTCCTCCAGAGGTCATGAGTTCAATTCCCAGCAACCACATGGTGGCTTACAACCATCTATAATGAAATCTGGTGCCCTCTCTTGGCATGCAGGTGTACATGCAAAAACATTGTATACATAATAAATAATAAATCTTTTTAAAAAAAAAGCATCTGGGAATAGAGTACCTACCTGACCTGCCTGGTCTAGTTTAAAACCTTAGTTTCTTGGGCACTCACACAAGAGAGGGGAAAATCAGGCCTCTTATGCCTTCTCCAACTGAATGAGGTTTCATGATGCACAGGCACAGCTTTAATCCCAGCTCTAGGGAGGCAGAGACAGGCAGATCTCAGTTCTGAGCCAGCCTGGACTCCACAGTGAGCAATGGGCCAGCCAAGGCCATGCAGGAAGACCCTGCCTCAAAAGAACATCTCTGTATGCTTGCTAGCCCACCTTCCAGCTGTCACCCAGAACAAGGAAGCTCTGCTTCACCTGCCAAGCTTTGCTCTCCCCACCTCAGTGATTATCTTCCGGAAGTTTTGAGACAGGGCCTCCCTGTGCAGCCCCGGCTGGCCTAGAACTTGCTATCTACCCCAGGTCAACCCTGAACTTCCTGAGGTGTGCCTGGCTCAGATTCCGGAAGGCCTGTACCACCACACCCTGCCTCCTGGCATAATTACTGCCAGCTGTTAGCCCCACCACGGTGTTTTCGCTGCCTCCACCTCAGGATTTCTCCAAGGAAACTGGCATGACCCACCCACCCCCAGTTCCGGAGACTCCCCACCGCAGAAAGTCCTGAAGATGACAGACTTGCAGTCATTCCCAGCCCTCCTACAACTCCCCTCCTCGCAAAGAGACTAGTTAGAAGAAGCTAGTGGCAACTGGATACAACCAGACCTTTCAAAGCGGACCTTCCTTGTCGAGGAACAAGGTTTCAAAACAGTTAGCTCAAGGTGAAACACGTGAGAGACTCAATGGGGGGGGTGTGTGCAATTCTTTATTGGAACACTTCCAGTTGTGTTTACAAACATTTAACAAGGAAAAAACCAGAGACGGCCCTAACGCCAGGCTTCCCAATTTCTAGGGCAAAAAACAACCAGAAATGATGTCAAGAGACTTAGACAGCCAGGGGTTAAAGACAACTGCCTCCACTCACAGCCCAGGCTAGCCCCCTGCCTCTGCCCCCAGGTGCTGAATTGGCGGGTGTGTACCACATTTAGACTGCCTCATGCCTGGATCCGAGGACTATAACCTGGTAACTGGTTCCCAGGCAGCTCAATTCCAACATCTCTGTCCAAAGACTGCTGCGCTCCAGTCTCGTGGACCAAAACTAAAGCACTCTGGGTGGCCCCCGTTATCTCCCACCCCCAAGAACAGCCTCAGGAAACTTCTGGGACAGAGCCTCAGAAACTTCCCGAGTTGGGACCTCAGAGGCCTGTGCAATGCTGGGTGGCGGCCTCCTGAACTTCAATGCACAGTCACATTTTGGCGGACCTCCCCTGCAGGGTTCTGGGTGACGGTTTCACCCGCCTCCACGGGGTCCGGCTGGGTGGCGGCCTCACGGACCTCCACCGGGTCAGGCTGGGTGGCGACCTCACAGACCTCCACCGGGTCAGGCTGGGTGGCGACCTCACAGACCTCCACTGGATTCGGCTGCGTGGCGACCTCACAGACCTCCACTGGATCCGGCTGCGTGGCGGCCTCACAGACCTCCACGGGATCAGGCTGCGTGGTGGCCTCACAGACCTCCACCGGATCCGGCTGGGTGGCGACCTCACAGACCTCCACCGGATCAGGCTGCGTGGTGGCCTCACGGACCTCCACGGGGTCAGGCTGGGTGGCGACCTCACGGACCTCCACGGGATCAGGCTGGGTGGTGGCCTCACGGACCTGCACGGGGTCCGGCTGGGTGGTGGCCTCACAGACCTGCACGGGGTCCGGCTGGGTGGCGGCCTCACGGACCTGCACGGGGTCCGGCTGCGTGGTGGCCTCACGGACCTGCACCGGAGCCCGCAGCCTGGCGGCCGCAGGGACCTTCACAGGAGCCGGCTGGGCCTCAGCCCTCTGAGCCCTCTCTGAAGTGGAAGAGGAGCAGTGTAAGGAAGTCAGCAAAGACACACTGGTGGCCCTGCCACGCTTTCCGGACCCACTTTCCCCGGGGGGTCCCCCGCAAGGGGCGGAGAGCTGCAGGGCGGGGCCGCCCTGCCTACCCCCAAGCCCACACCTACTCTGCTCCACTTGCTTCTGGAAATAGTCAACCAAGTTCGAAACCATCTGGGAAACGTCCTTCTGGTAATCGGGAGGCCCGAATATCAAAATCTCGGCCTTCTCTCCAGGCTCCCCCAGGTTCACGTGAATCAGGGTGTGGGTCATGCACTCGACGTGCGGGATGTACTCTCCGTTCCGGCCTGGGCAGGGGGCGAACCTGACAGTGAGGGGGCGGCTTCCGCTTCTTGGAAAGTTAGTTGGGAAGTTGAGGAAGTGGGGTAGAGGTGCCACAGATCCGGAGCCACAGCCACCGGAGGGGTTTTCTCTACAGGACATGCATACCCAGACTGCCGGGGTGTAGATGGGGGTCAGGAGGTGGCCCCGGCCTTCCCAGTTCACTCACCGAATATCGCTTCCACCAGCCAAGGATCCACGTACATTGTTCTCGGGTCATCCAGGTACTCGACGTGGAACCACTTGGGCAACTTGGAGTCTCCTGCCACCTCAAATAAGGTATCCTGTTTGTGCTTCAGCGGGACGAGGGTCTGAAACCTCCTAGGAGAGGCCATACTCACAGACAGCCCACGCGCTCCAAACCCAGCGAGCCCGAAAGCGACCGAGCGGCTGAGCCGTATTTCAAGGGCCGTTCACTAGCCCCTTCCCGCTCGTGTCCTTCCAATTGGCCCTCAGGCCTCGCTTCCCACTCCCAGAAGCCTCACCCCTCCTCGAGGCTTCACAGATGCACAGGCAGCACCTGGGGGGTGGGGGTGGGGGTGGGGCGGTGCTGATCCTAGAGGGAGAGGCAGGTTCCTGGGTTTGGTTTGGTTTTTTTAATACAGTATTCTGTCTGTATGTACATCTGCACGCCAGAAGAGGGCACGAGATCTCATTATAGCTGGTTATGAGCCATCATGTGGCTGCTGGGAATTGAACTCAGGACCTTTGGAAGAGCAGCCTGTGGTCTTAACCTCTCCAGCCCCCAGGTTTCTGGTTTTAAGATACGTGGTGGCTCGGGCCTTTAATCAAAGCACTCAGGAGGCAGAAAAATCCTGTCTCAAAAAAAAAAAAAAAAAAGAAAAGAAAAAGAAAGGGTGTGTATGTGTTTATATGTGTTTTGGGAAGAAGCAGACATAGCAGACATTCTAGTGTGATCACCCGGAGATGATTACAGTGGACCCAACACCAGGATGGGGGCTGTTATCTGACTTCAAGGCCAATTAAATTTCACATAGGGCAGGTCTGTGGTGGCTCATCCCTTTAATCCCAGCACTTGGAAGTTCAAGACCAGCCTGGTCTACATGGTTCCAGAACAGCCAGGGCTACACAGAAAACCCTGTCTCGAATAACTCTGCCTGCCCCCCCACCAAAAAAAATCATTTAAATTTGATTTTTTTTTTTAAGCATGCGCTAGTATGCTGGGCTCCCCAATTTCTTCTTCTTTCTAGAGACAGCTGGGCAGGGGAAAAAAAAAAAAAGCACTTTTAATGAAGGCAACTCCGTACACCTGGCTTCCTAACCCGAGCGAATCTTCCATTTGTAATGCCTCTTTTCTCTACACAACAGAATTGTGTTTCAGCTTAGCTTCCTGTTCATGTTATTTATCCATTGCGATTTAAGAAAATGAAGTTAGAAGTTAAAGAGGATGCTCTTAAGAGTCTTCTGCTCCCCGGGAGGTGGTAGTCCTTGACTTTAATCTGAGAACTCTGAGTTCAAGGCCAGCCAGGTCTACAAATCAAAAACAAACAAAAACAAAACAAAAACAAAAGAATGACGTTACAACCCTCGTAGGGTAGCAGTTTGGGCCTCCTGTCCAGCCCAGAAGAAACTTCCAGAACTGATTCAGGCTCCTGTTCATCCTCCTTGTAGAATCTCTAAGCCAAGAAAGGTCTAGGCAACTGTATTTAATAGGCCTAAAAAAGTCTTAAGATCCAAGAAGAATAGGAATTAAGAAGCAGAGAAAGACATTCTGATAATCACGCAGTGGACTTACAAACTTCCGTGAGTAGGCAGGACAATGTTTAAAACTGGTTTTGTTAAAAGCTTTATGTTTTATTTTATTTTTCTCGTTTTTCGAGACAGGGTTTCTTTGTGTAGCCTTGGCTGTACCGAACTTGCTTTGTAGGCCAAGATGGCCTCCAACTCACAAAGATTCCCTCTGCCTCTGCCTCCCAGAGTGCTGGGATTACAGGTGTGGAACACCAGGCCAGGCTTATTTTTCTGATTTGTAATCATGTGCATCTATGTTGGTATTATGGGATAGTGAGACTGGAAGCAGTGGTTCCCCTGAAGCTGTAGTTATCAAAGCAGTTGAATCACCTGATGCAGGTGCTGGGCATTAAAACTCCATAGAAGTTAGTCCATGTTAACTGCTCTAGCAGCTCTCCAGCCGCTGAAACTCTCTTGATTACAAGGATAGCTCCAACGAAACATTTATACATGTACAAACTGGTGAATTGTGCACATCTTAATGCAAGAAAGTCCTTGTGCTTGCACTGAAGTGGCTCTGTAATCCATTTTTGTTTTTGCTTGCTTTTCAGACAGTCTCTCACTGCAGGCCGGGTGGCCTGGGCCTCACCAGGTGGCTCAGATCAGCCTCAGACTTATGGCTCTTCTCCCTCTTCACCTTCCGGATGCTGGAGTTCAATGCACCGGCGCCATGCCTGACTAACAGTTGTCGACAAAAGATTCTTTTTGTCCTTCTGTTGATATTTGGGGGTACACATAAAGGCAGCTCAAACCAAACCAGGGTCTGTGGCTTGCACACTAAGAGGAATTCCAGAATTACATGTGATGGTAATGAGCAGCTGTAACCCCAGCACCCGACGGGAGGGGGGGAGCCCAGCCCCCGGGCGGAAGAGTTCAGGGTAGAGGGCGGGGCATGTCTGCCACACCCAGTAACAGGTAGAGACTAAGGGACGCTGGGAGAACCTGGAGGCCAGGTCCACCTAGGTGTGTTAGATAGGCACCTCAGCTGCTTGGCTAGGGTTTGAAACTCAGCAGAAAGCAGCTTGCAGCCCTGTCGGCCAGCCTAACCTAGAGCTGCCGCACTGCATCGTCATCTACAGAATTCATGCTTCAGAACTGGTCGATGACGTGTTCTGGGTTTTTTTTTTTTTTAATAAATATTTAAAAATAATTTGGATAATTTTTAAAAAATTAATACACATTTTTTATTTTGTGTGTGTGTGTGTGCACATTAGTTGGTGTTCGTATGTGTGTGGGTGCTCATGGGGGCAGGGCTGTCCTTCCCCCAGAAGCTCTTCCCTACAGAATCCAGACATTTTGGTTACCCACCTCTCTCCCTCTCTTTTGCTCTTTCTGTAGCTTTGGCCTCCTGGCTGCTGTGTTTGGTTTCCCTCTCCTCTTCTCTCCACTGCACCAGGAAGAATAAGCACCTATAGAAAACGGGTGAGTGCACAGACTTAAAGACCACCGAGGGACCTTCCACTTATAGTCCCTAATACCTAGCTATGGCCCTATAGACTTTGACAAATCCCCCTCGATAGGGTCAGCAAACCAGGTATCAGGTTTTCAGCAGGGGACATTCTGGTGGGCTGCGAAAGTGGCTGTTCTCTTCCAGGACCTGGCTGGGCAAGATGGCAGTTGAACAGTCTTGGGGAGAGAGCCATATGGGAAGCTAGCATCCAAGACAGGCCAACAAGTGCTAGCGCTCAGAGCCAGGAATACAGCCACCCACTCAGGGGAGCGTGCCCGAGAGGACTGGACAACTGTGTGAAGACAGTAGGGGCACTGGCCCCAGCTCTGCTTTGATGTGGGCCTTGACCATTTTTGTTTCATTCCATCAGATGAGCCAGCTCAGCAATTCTCAACGGTGCTTAATAAATATTGGATAAAACATTTTTGAATTGGGGTCAGCTCAGCTGTCAAGAGCCCTTGGCTGCTCTTCCAGAGGACCCATGTTCAATTCCCAGCACCCGAATGGGACCTCACAACTGTTTGTGACTCTAGTCCCGTTTCTGGCCTTAGAGGATGCTGCACATACATGGTACATAGGCATCTATCCAGGCAAACGTTCATACACGTGAAATGAATTAAATAAATAAAATTGCCCCTAAAACATTTTGAACTATATTCCAGGATGTTCCTTGACAGAGCTCCTCAATGTTCCTCTCACAGGCTCTGCATGAGATTTCTGAATTTCTGAATCTGGATTTCTTTGGCGTTACAATTCCAAGTTTGAAATATTCACACAAACCAGATACACTGGACCAACTTTTTAATTATGGTTTAATTGGCACAAAGTTCACTGAAGATCTTTTGCTTTTATACAGATTTATAAATAGAAAAATACATTGACACAGAAAATATGGTTATTTTATATCAAATTTAAACCATTTTTAAAGAGAATACAGTTTTTTTTTTCCAACAGTTCGAGGCAGTTCTCATGTAAGCATCAATCACATGCATTTAACCCTGTGCCCGGTATGGAGCCAACAGGCCCCAGTGCTAACTCTGGATCTACTTCTTGAAAGGTGCACTATGCAAACTCAACATATTTTTAAAACAAAAATAGGGTTTCTCTGTGTAGCCTTGGCTGTCCTGCAACTATTTCTGTAGACCAGGCTGGCCTTGAACTCAGAGATCTTCCTGCCTCTACCTCCCAAGTGCTGGGACTGAAGGCCTACACCACCAGCACCAGGCACATTAACTTTATTTATAAGAGAGACATTAAAAACGTGCTCTGATGTGTGATAAGCTCTACCGAAGTCTTGGAGCAGCTTTGGAAGGCACAGCTGTGCATGGACCCAGGGTTTCGGGGTTCAGATGCAGAGAGGCCTCAGTGGCAACTCTGCCGTTTCAAGGACAGAATAAGCTTAGCAGCCACGGCTAATTTTGCTGGGGAGGGGGCGGTGTCAAAGGACAATGGCAAAAATGATAGATGGTCAATTAAAAAGCCTTTTGAGAGCTGGGTGGGATGGCTCCACCTCTAATCCCAGCACTTGGGAGGCTGAGACAGGTGGATCTCTTGAGTTTCAAGCTAGCCTGATCTACAACAGGAATTCCGGGCCAGCCAGGGTAAGAGCCTGTTTCAGGAGGAAAAAAAAAATCCGCTTAAAAACTACCATGCAAAGTACTTATTTTCCTTTATACTGTAAAAAAAAAAAAAAAAAAAAAAAAAAAACAAAACAAAAACAAAAAAACCACCACAGTTTTTACTTCTTAAATTTATAGCTGGTGAGATTTTTCCTGTGGTGAGATTTGTTGCAGATTTTGGCTTACTTCCTTTAAGCCATTTTGAAAAGAATTTTGTTCTGAATGAGACACCTTAGGTCTTTAGAAGTAGGTTCTGTGAAGAATATTTTTAGCCACCCATCTTGGGCATGAAGATAAGGTGGCGACAGAGCACAGCGCATGATCTTGGCAAGATAAGAGCAAGTACAGAAATGCCCACATTCCCAGGGAAAGGTTCAGGCTACAGAACACTTTCTTTAACTAGCATACAAATGTGGCTGCTTAAGTCCCGACTCTGAGCTCCCTGCTGATGGCAAGTACACGTGCTGCTTGATTAAAAAGAGAAAGCAAACAGGGAAATACCAATACCAACCACACCCAGCCTCATGGAAAAGTCAGATTAGCAGTCTACAAACCAATTGAAACTGCAGCCCGAAGGCACCAGAACAAATGTACAAGTAGGAAGAGAAAAAAAGAGAGAGAGAGAGAAAGAAATCTCTTCTTATACATACACCAGAAGCACAAGCCATGTTCAGACACAGACTAAACCAACAATCATGGATAAACACACGGGTCTCCATGACCTCCCTTGCTCCTGCTAGGAGGTCCTTCACCTCTGCTCCACAAACCCCTCCCACCACCACCAAACTCACATAAGTTCAATCCACTCTGCTCAGAGTCTAGAGATACAGCCGTCATTCCTTTATGTTCACGTCAAGGGGAAGGCCTACATGAAAGGTAACGCTGAAAGCCATTGGCCCGGGGTGCACATCCCTAACATTCAAATGTTTGATGTTCTAGAGCATGGATTTTGAAATCTGGATTCTCAAGACCATGATGGCCTTTCACTGCTCAAAGATCTTAATGTCTTCATGAGACTCTAGGTCTATCTGTGTTGAGGCAGGTGACTGCTTTAAGGCAGGTGACGGGACCGGGACCATCGGCATTCTACATAACAGATGAAACCTTTCGTGGCTGCAAAGTCCTGAATTCCTGAATGAACTGCTACCATGGGCTTAGGTTTTATAAGACACTTTTGGCTCTGTGAAGTAGTTCTCCCAATTCTTGGACTAGAATCTTATAAAGCTGCGACAAGTTACAAATGGCTGCTGAGTTCATGCCTCCTGGAGATGAACAGGTGGTCTTGTTCATCTCACGGTGGTGGCTTGGTCTCCATGGCCGAGCTCACAGGCAGGTGCCCTGCACTGCCACAATGCTCGCCTGTGTCTCAACAGCTGCAAATCCCTTTCTCCTTCTCATTTGGCTGGTCTGCAGAGGTATGGCCATTGGATCGCACCACTCCTTCCGGGATCCAGGACTTGTCCACACACCTTTCCATCCGCTTCATAATCAGGTCCAAGAGCGTCTCAATGGCTTGGCTAATGTTTGTCCCGTTGGCAGCACTGGTTTCAAAATAGGGGATTCTGGAAGACAGAAACAACTCAGGTAATAATGTGCAAGGGAGGACAGTGATCTTTGCCCTTTGTAATGTTTTGGCCATTCACAATTTAGAGAATGCCTTGAGGATAAATACTATAACTTCGGTAGTGCCAGAGATGAGGCAGCGGTATTCCAGTCATCATAGTTCCATGTGCCAAATTTTAAGAAAAAAAATCTATTTTAGTGTGTCTCTCTCAAAACAGTTCTTTCATGCCTCATTTTTTCAAAATGACATCATTTGCCAGTGCCTAAAACAAACTCTCCTGCTTAAAGGAATGATATCACTGCAACGGGCATAGGGCCATCGGTCTGTGTGGGCTGGGGTCTGAGCCTCTCAAACGGCAAGTCTCCTGAGGCAGAATCTGTGTATGTGTAAAGACTTGGCTGTGGCCTGGAGAGATGGCTCCGAGGTTAAGAGCACTGGTTATTCTTCCAAAACTCTTGAGTTCAATTCCCAACTACCACATGGTGGCTCACAACCATCTAGAATGAGATCTGGTGCTCTCTTCAGGCATGCAGGTGTACATGCAGGCATAACACTATGCATAATAGTGTTAAATCTTTTTTTAAAAGATTCATTTAATAAATAATAAATAAGATTTATTTACTATACAGTGCTTGAGAGGTAGAGGCAGGAGAAGCGTAAGTGTGAGGGCAGCCTCACAACACAGCAAATTTGAGGAAAGCCTGGGCTACATTACACCCTGTCTCGAACAAAACAAAACAAAAAACCAAGAGGATGCAGAGAGGGGCTTCAATTACATCCCTTAACATCTCTGCTGTTGGGACTGTTAAGTTTCAAACCCAGGACAAGCTGCTGAGGTGCCTATTTTTGTTTTTCGAGACAGGGTTTCTTGGTGTAGCAGCCTTAGCTATGCCAGACTCACTTTGTAGATGAGCCTAGCCTGGAAATTACAGAGAACCACCTGCCTCTGCCCCCCATCTCCACCCCAAGTGCTGGGAGGTGCCTATTTCACATAGCAAAGCAGACCTAGTCTCCAGGTTCTCCCAGCATCCTTCTGTTACAGGATACGGTTGGCATAGCCTGCCCTCTACCCTGAACTGTCCAGCCCAGGGCCTGGGCTACCCTTCTCCCAGAGGCTCTTCCCTATATAATCCAGATATTTGATTACCTGCCCCCTTTTTGTGCCTTTGGCCCCCTGGCTGCTGTACTTGGCTTCCTTCTCTCCCTTCCCCTCAGGCTTCCCCTTCTGGTTCAGGGTCATGACCACTCTGGACTTGCTCAGATGTGTCTACCCTGGCTAAGTTCTCCCCCACATCTATAATAAACTTTCTCCTCCATACCTAGGAGCGGTCATGTCTCTTTTTTATTTTCATTTTTTAAAGATTTGTTTATTATGTGTATAGTGTTCTGCCTGCATGTACACCTGCATGCCAGTAATAGATGGCTGTGAGCCACCATGTGGTTGCTGGGAATTGAACCCAGGACCTCTGGAAGAGCAGCCAGTGCTCTCAACCTCTGAGCCGTCTCTCCAGCCCCTTTTTCTTTCTCTTCTTTCTTTCTTTTTCATCCATGGAGCACAAAGGTCCTTGTATTCACAGATCCCTAGGGAAATCAGGAGAGGGTTCTTTTTTGTGTGTGGAAAATTTATTTTGCTAGCTAGCCATTCAGTACATTATATATAACAAAACACATAAAAGAATACAAGGCTTGAATCCAAGTACAATGGATTGATACATTCTCTTTAAAATTAAAGGTCAGTCTTGCAGGAAGTGAAAATGTTGGGCGTTAGAGAGCTGTTGACAAGAGGGCCAGGGGAAGCTGGAAATCTCACAGTCCCTGTTGACATTGAAAAGGGTTATTACCGCTCTTGTGGAAAGAAGAACCCACACTCCTCATAAAGAATCAAAACTAACTAGACTCCGGCAAGACTGTCTTGGGGGACGTTCAAAAACATCTATAATTGCCACCATTCCCCTGCACCTCTCAGTCCTGAGGTAAGCCCTTTGACAGAGCAGCCAGTGTGGAGACTGTAAGCCTCTCTTAGACGGCATAGTCTAGGAGTTCATTTACTTGCTTCATTCTATACTGCACTACATAACACCCTGGACACTGTAGGTGAGCATTTCCTGGAGGATGCCACTGTGATAAAGAGCCAGTTATGCCTTCCAAAGTGGCTTCTTTCTTTCTTTTTCCTTCCGGTTTTCTTTTGAGATAGGAATCATTGTATCTTCCACACTAGCAGAAGACTCCCTGCCTCAGCTTCCAGAGGGTTGCGACCCTCCGCCCCGCTACAGGCTTCATTAGGGGACCTCTCAACCCTCCAGGCTGGCACTGGAAAAACTGCAATTATAACTCATAACAACTTCATCTAGAATCGAACAAACACCCCTTTGTTTCGTAGGTGCTGCAAACATCATATCATCGAAAGTGTCTGTTTTCCTTGCGGTCTTGTCAGTCAATCCTGCAGTTCCCTATGCTAACTTCCTTCCGCTCAGGTCGGGTTCTACTGCTGAGCGGGCGTTAGCTTTCCGCTCTGCCAGATTAAATGGTCTGCATCTCACCACCACCTGAATGTTCTTGCACTTCTCTTCTCTTGGAAGAACAACTCAGCTGGACGCCATGACGGTTGCTGGCGCCAAAACCTGGCTGCCTGGCAGTGACTCCCACAGTGTGGGAACCGGGCGCCCGCCTCCTCTCCCCTGGTGCTGCTTCTGCAGCCAGGAAGACCAAGACTTGCAGATCAGCAGTCCACATAGGCCTCTGGTCTTGGCCACCACCCCACAACAGCTGGAGACACCGAACCTGCAGGCTGGTCTCTACCCAGAAACCAGCAATGATTCAGCGCCTTAATTCTTTTCAAAGAAAAAAAAAGTATCACTTGTTTTCTACCCAAATGACCTGGTGACCTTGGCTAGCTATCTGTAAATCGAGACATCACCCAAATTCCCCAGAATGTTTATCCCAGACTCTTCCTCCAAAGACCTTTTATCTTTAGCTTTGTGTATCAGTCAATAGAGCATGTGCATTTTACAGGCCCAAGGACTTCTAAGCTATCCCTAAATTGGAGAGACACCAATTCCTCCCTAGACCCTTAAGCTAATACCTGTAGCCTGTCTCAGATTCAGGGTCAGGAGCCTTATCAACTGAGCTACCAATGTAGCCTATCTAGCCTATCTCTAGGATAGAAATACATGTGTTTTGAGTTTCGATGTAATTATGCTTCCCTGTGCACCCAAGACAGTATCACCAGGAAATTTTTTCTCCAAACTGTACTGCCATTTAAACACTTAATCCCAGCACTCAGGGAGGCAGAGGCAGAAGGAACTCTGAGTTCCAGGCCAGAGTTTGAGACTACAAAGTGAGCCAAGGCTACACAGAGAAACCCTGTCTCAAAAAAAAAAAAAAAAAAAATATATATATATATATATATGTATGTATGTGTTTGTATATGTGTGCGCACACGCGCGCGCACGTATGTATGAAATAATATGCTTACAAAAGCCCACCTGGTATCAGACTCCGGAAGTTTGAGTGGCTGAATTGAGCTTCCCTCCTTATCTCTCCCATTTCCTTTCGGGCTGGAATGCTTGCAAGCACTCAACCCACACACCCAAACACACACACACACACACACACACACACACACACACACACACTGGTACCTCCTTGCCACTTCCCAGAGAAGCTGCTAAGCCTTAAAAGGTCATTCAGGTAATAAATAGTACAAGTGTTTTCTCCACATCACCATATACATTATCATCTTCTATTCTATACTCCTGGTTAAGTAGGAAATGCCCTCTTGGATCCGCCCACAACCTTTTTGTTTTTGAGACAGGATTTAACTAGGTAACTCAAACGGATCTTGGATTTTCTGTGTAGTCTAGGCTAGCCTCAAATTCATAGTCCTTCTGCTCCAGCCCATCCAGTATTTGGGCTGCACATGAGAACCACCACTCCTAGCTTAATATTTTATACATTTCTTGAGACAGGGTTTCTCTGTGTTGCCCTGGCCATCCTGGAACTTGCTCTGTAGACCAGAATCTACAGGAAGGAATAAAGAACTGAAAGTCAGGGAGGTGATACATACACTTGGGAAGCTGAGGCTAGGGTATCAAAACTGCCAGGCTAGCCTGGGCTATATAACTGCATATCAGGATCCTGCTTCAAAAAATAAATAAATAAAACCAACAATAATAAACTAAGTTTCTGGATTGGCCACAGAGACGACCTGGAATTAGGGGCAGGAGGATCTCTGTGATTTCAAGGCCAGCCTGGTCTACATAGTAAGTACCAGGACAATCAGAACTACGTGAGATACCTATCACAAGAAAGAAGGAAAGAAAAGGAAAGGGAAAGAAAGAAAGAAAGAAAGAAAGAAAGAAAGAAAGAGCAGAAAAGAATTCTAGGTTGTAGAATAAGTACTGTGTTCCCAGCACAGCTCTGGAGCCTTCTCCTAATCTGTGACAAGGAAGAGCAGTAGTTACTTTTTTTGTTTTGTTTAGACTGGGTCCCTGTGTAACCCTGGCTGGCTTAGAACTCACTAAATAGAGCAGGCTGAACTTGAACTCAGAGATCACCTGCCTCTGCCTCCCAAATGCTGAGATTAAAGGTGTGTGCCACCACTGCCTGGTGCTTGTATATACTTTTCCAAGAATATATCTAAAAACAAGTTTAGGTGACATAAATTCAAAAGGCTTTAACCATAGAAAGCTGGCACTATCCTTTATGTCCACACGATGGTGCTAAAGCAGCACTGTCCAGAAAGCTCTCTTACTAGAGGGATGAAAAATGGTTGGTTGAAATTTATGTCCACCAGCAAATGGGCCTTTAATTGCTACTTGTAGTTCAAAGTAGCAAAGACTAATTTTTATGTGCATTTAAAAACAGGCTGGGCAAACCTTTAATCTCAGCACTCAGGAACTCAGGAGGCATGCTGACCTCTGTGAGTTCAAGGCTACTCTGTTTCAGAAAAACAAAACAAAAAAATATCTGGGAAGTGGTGGTACACACTTATAATCCCAGCACTCAGAAACTCAGGAGGCAGGGGCAGGCAGATCTCTAAGTTTGAGGCCAGCCTGGTCTACAGAACAAGTTCCAGGATAGCCAGGAAGACACAGAGAGAAACCTTGTCTCAAACAACAAACAAACAAACAAAAAACACATACATTCATCACAATTTAAAAATAAAAACATTCAGTAAACAAAATGGCAAGGGCTTCAAAGCCATGCAAGGGACTCTTATTTGCACTTCTATGCCAGAATATCCATGGGCATAATTCTCAAATAGCCGACTTTTTTACCATTATTTACTTATTTATTGACCAGACTAGAGACTTAAAGCCAAGTTGCCAGAGATTAAGAGAAGGCTCAAGTGCCTGCTGTCCCTGCAGAGGACCCATGTTCAAATCCCAGCACCTATACCAAGCACTCACAACTGCCTGTAACTCCAGCTCCGGAGGGATGTAATGCCTCTGATATCTGTGGTATAACGGCGGGGTACCTGCACCTACACGTAATTAAAATAAGTTAAATATTTTTAATCCAGTTGCAGGAATAGGTGATGTATATATATACACGTATATATATGTGTGTGTGTGTGTGTGTGTGTGTGTGTATACATATATATGTGTATATATATATGTATATATATACATATATATGTATATATATATGTGTGTATGTATATATGTGTGTGTATGTATATATGTGTGTGTATGTATGTGAACTTAATAGGAAAGCAGTTTCCTGGCAAATGCAAAGCCTTGGGTTCATGAAGAAGTTGTCACGATGACAACAAGGATGTCTAGAGAGTTTGGTCAGGTGTGTCTAGGTGTTTGGCTCACGTGTAGACCCAGAATTCATGGCGAGTCCTGCTGGACGCTAAGTGCTCAGTGAGAAGGACTGTGTGATGATCATCTGAGCCCGGAAGACTGTGGCAGTAAAATCCAGATCCTCTGCTGAGTTACAGTGGGCTTCAGTCAAGCAGTCAGCCTTGTGTATTTGGTTGTAGCTTTTTTACGTTGTTTCAAAGTATGCCCAATAATACACCATTGCTTTCTTTTCTTCATTAATTTATCTTTAAAACTTATTTTTTTATGTGTGTGTTTTGCCTGCATGTATATGTGTGCCCTGTGTGTGTGTGCCTTGTACCTGAGGAAGTCAGGTGAGGGCAGTGAACCCCCTGGATCTGGAGTTACGAATGGTTGTAAGCCACCAAATGGGTACTGGGAATCGAACCCTGGTCCTGTGCATGAGCAACAAGCAGTCTTAACCATGGAGCCATTACTCCAGCCCCAATTAGTTCCTTTCTCAACTCAGTGAAGGCTGTCAAAGCTTACAAGGGATCAAACAATCAGAAACAACCAAATCCAGACCACATGTCACCTAGCTCAGAGTTAGAACAGACACTGCCAAGTTCAGACCCCTGAAATCCAAAACCTGACCTGTGCTGATGTCTGATATCTCTCATTGACATGGTGAATAAAGGTTTTTAACTGAGCTTTCACTGCAGGAGCTTTGAGTATCTTCCTCAGCAGAAAGCAGCAGGGTGGACCGGGTCCTCATTTCAGAGCTGGGGCCAAGTGTGTACACAGCACACAAGTATGTACATTCAGTTGTCCTTTAATCCCGTTCCCCAACAACTCTCTTCTGTGACTGACGGAGCATGGACTGTCTCCATCGATCCCTCTCTTCTCCTGGCATTCCCTTCACCCTCATCAATGAAAACCTCTTCCTTTGTAACTCAGCTCAGCCCATCTTTGTGATGCCTTCCATGACCAGGGTGTGTGCTGGACACAGGGAGAGATAGTCCCCGTGTGGCTCAGATCCCAACACTGAGCTCTCTGGTGCCTGGCAGACTATAGAATCCTGAGCGCCAAAATGGAGTGATAAGAAAAGGGCTTATGAGGGCCCAGAATGGGAACAAGTCAGTCCTTCCACTCCCCAGGTGTTTGAGAAAGGCTTGTTGAAAGACTCCTCTCACCGGCTGACTTTTTCATTCACTTCTCAGAAGCAGGTGTGATAACTGTGGTCTCTATTGCCTCATGGCTGACTTCCTCCCTGTCCCCTTGCAAAACAGCATCTCTTGCAGTGTTTGGCCCTTCTGTTTCCTGAGTGCCTCTCAAGAGGGAGGGGCCTACTGAGACTGGGCTCTGCCAGCCTCTAGCTCAGAATCTCCCAAGTGGGTTGGTCTTGACCACGGCATAGGAAAATCATGTGGGAAGCTGTTAAAGGCACCGGTGCCCAGGTCCCCGCCCACGGCATGCCACTGTAGCTGGGCTGAGCATTTCCCAGAATTAGAGTGGGTCACAGGAGAGGCTTGGGGGAAGTGAGGCATTTACCCAAGATTTTCACACACAGACACTTAGCTGATGACGCATCTTGGCACAGTCTGGCAACCGGATCTGCACCTGTCCCACCTCCCTCGCCTCTCCATAGCACCCTGGACTCCTAAGCCAGGTGTGTAGCTAGCCCTGAGATGAAGGGCCTGGCTCGTGTTCAACGCCCACACCACCAAGGCCAGAGGCAACAGCTGACAGGACAGGAGTTTCAGGACACTGTCGTAAGGCCTAGCCGGTCCTCACTTCCTGCACCCACTCCAGCTTCCCTTTCTCACAGCCCATCCTGTGGACCCCAAGATTCAACATCTGACACAAAGAGAAAATGTACCTGCCATGGCATAAGCTCAGATCCCTGCCACAGATATGTGCACCCACACAGGCATGCATGTTCACGAGGGCTTCCAGGAGTTCAAAGCCCTCCTCGGCTACATAAGGAGTCCAAGGCCAGTCTGAGACCTTGTCTTCAAAAAAAACAAAAACCTGCTTCCTGCCTCCTGTAAGCAGGAAGGCATGCAGGCCAGAAAAGGTGTCAGGTGTCCCTCTCTATCATCTGCCCATTCCTTGAAGGCAGGGTCACTTCCTGAACCTGGGACTCACCATCTTCTCGGCTACGCTAGAAGCCAGCAAGCCCAGTAATCCTCCTGCCTCCGTCCTCCACAGAGCTGTGTTATAGACATGCACCAGACACTCAGATTGTTACATAGGTGATGGAGGAGGTCCAAACTCTGGTCCCTGTGATAGGCTGAGCCATCTCTCCAGCCCTGCCTCCTGCTTTTAATAGTGAGCTTGCTTTAAACCTGCATTTGCATTCTCATAGTTCAACAGGGAAATGAAGTGAAGCAATGATCCCTCTGGAGTTCACCCCCTCCGTCTGCATGCAAGCCCCATGGTGCCTCCATGAACCCAGTCCAAGAACTGAAGGAGGAAGTCAGTATCTCTGGCCCTCCACTCAAAACCAGCATCTTCACCAAAGGGCATCTTCACGACCCCCCCAGTCAAAGTCAGTGTCTGCTCTATGATACCCGACAAGGCCTTCTTAGGTGCCAGGGCTCTGCAACTGTAAGTAAAGCGGTTTTGAAATTTCCATGCTGAGCACAGAGGATTTCCTTATTCTAAGAGTCTTCTGTTAGCCTGGTGGTAGTGGCACACGCCTTTAATCCCAGCACTCGGGAGGCAGAGGCAGGTGGATCTCTGAATTTGAGGCCAGCTCTGCTCTACAGAGTTCATTCCAGGACAGCCAGGGCTACATGGAGAAACCCCGTCTCGGAAAAAAAAAAAAAAAAAAAAAGTCCTCTGTTTGCATGTTGGACAGAGACCTGACAGTCAGTACATTTGCATTCAAGGCTCTCTTCCTGAAAAATTCTAAAAGACTGACAAGAGGGAACCAAGACAGCAGAGGACATTCCCACTGGTGTTTTATAACCCCCACTGTGATACTCATGTGAAATATAAGGCCTTTGACACCTCCCACGGATGAAAGCTGAGTTTTCTGCTTTTATTTTCTGTCAGTTACTCTCTCGCTTGCTAATGTCTCTGTACCCTCTTGATCCCACCCCAGGAATACTCACCCATACTTCTCTGCCAGGTCCCTGGCCTCCTCCTCTTTCACCGCCCTCTGGTCTTCCAGGTCACTTTTATTTCCACACAGCACTATATCTGGGTTTTCACAATAGGCATGCATTTGTAGCTGGCCTATGGCACAGAAAAGTTTGTTATACAGAAGTCATGATCAAAAGAAAACAGACGGAAAACTACAAATACATACGCAGAGGCAAAGCACTGACAGAACACTTTCCCTCTTCCTTACTAAGCCACAGATTACATTTCTAAAGCTAGCCACCAAGTCTAGTCCCTTATTTGACCACTTCCTTCTCCTGAGGCTGACCCACCAAGGTTTAGCTACCAAACTACTGAAGTCCAGTGATCAAAAGCCCCCTTTGATTGACTAATTAAAAAGCCCAATTAAAACAAACCAACTCATCCTAATGCAGAGTTTTTCCCCTTTCCCTTTATAAACTACCATTTGTCTGTGGGCCACCCACATCTGCCTCCACTTTATCCAGAGGCAGCCCTTTGTCCCTTGGGGCAAATATCCCTTCCTCCTCTCTGTTACCCCCTCCCTTACCTCCTTACCCTCCCCCTCCCTTGTTCCTTTTTGTCCCTCTGGGGCAAATAAATCTCCTTTGTGCTGAGAACTTGGTCTTGGTGTGTCCTGTGTTGACTCTGGTTCTCTCACTTTTGTTCTTTGAGACAGGGTTTCTTTGTGAGGCCTTGGCAGTCCTGGACTCACTGTGTAGACAGGGGTGGCCTTGAACTTAGAGATCCTCCTGCCTCTGCACCCTGAGTGCTGGGATTACAGACATGCTCTCACTTATATCTGAAATGCTTTTCCTGTGTTTGTATCATCCTAAAGCAGGATCAATCTATTTAAAACAATTAAGGAGCCGGCTGTGATGGTGCACGCAGGTAATCCCAGTGCTCAGGAAGCTGAGGCAAGGGACTCTGTGAGTTCAGGGATAGCCTGGACTACATAGTGAGACCTTGTCTTAGGCGAACAAGAAACTAAGGTTGGAGGATGAAAGAAGACATAGACTAAATAGTAAACAAGAGGAAGGAGAGGAAGCAGGAAACCACCACTCATGTTTATACCTTTTATATCCTTTCATCTAAAACCCTTTAGCTAGGTTTGATTATGAAAAGTGAAGGACGCTGGAGAGACAGCCCAGTGGTCAAAAGCATGTACTGCTCTCCCAGAGGACCTGGTTCTGTCCCCTCACTCTCTTCAGGTGGCACACCAACCAGCTACGCTGGCCGCCCAGGGCCCCTGCACCCACTTGCACATACCCACACAGAAGATTTTTTTTTTTTAATCGTAAAAACTAAAACCTTTTTTAAAAAGGAAAAAAAAAAAAAAAAAAAAGAAGCCCCAGGGTGCTAAATTAGTTCCATCTGCCAAAGGATGAACTTAATACCCATTTTCTTTCTCCTCACACTCCAGAAACTGAAGCAGCTGAACTTTCACACTCAGTGGCCTCGGAGTACATGACCTGAAGTGTGCTTTGTCACTATCAGCCAGCTCCTCCCCCCAAAGTCAGGTCATAGCTTATCAAGGCAAGGTGAAGTAGGAGGAAGTTTCCCCAAGCATTAACAGGGGCCTGAATTTCAGGATATAGTCTTTTGCCCTCAGGAGACAACTTGGGTCACAGGATCCTGCCCGGGCAGGATCAAACTGTGCCCCGTTTCCTGTCAAGGCCAGGCCTCTTCTACCCTCAGGTTGTAAATGCGGTTCCCACACTCTTTAATGCCCAGGCACAACTTCCTTCAAGGTTTGCTCCACTGTCTCCTCCACAGGGCTCTTCTGTGTTCTCTTAGCACCATGGTTACGATCGATCATCTCCTGGAGTTGAAGCGTGGCTCGGTGGCTGCCTGCGTGCCCTCCCCACCCACCTCTCAGCCTGAGGGGGCTGTTGTCTGACCACCTTAGCTCCCTCATCTCCGGCTAAGGTGTGTGGGCTAGCAGCCTCCGCATCCCCTGAGAACTTACCGAAAGGCATGTTATTGGTCCTGCCCAACAGCTACTGACCAGGAACATGGATATGGGAGAACCGTCCCCCACCAACCAGGAGACTCAGATGCATGGCACACCGAGTTAATAAGCCAAAGCACTTCTAAGACTGTAAGGTTAGTGACAGTTCATAGTTCTAGTGTTCATCTAAGAAATGTTACTGTACTCTCTCTCTTTTCTTTCTTCCTTTTTTTTTTTTTTTTTGTTTCATTTTTCCATACAAGGTTCCTCTGTGTAGCCCTGGCTGTCCTGGAACTCACTCTGTAGACCAGGCTGGCCCCAAACTCCGAGATCCGCCTGCCTCTGCCTCCCGAGTGCTGGGATTACAGGCGTGCACCTCCAGATCCACCTGCTGTTATCGTTCTCATCTCTGAATTTTTGTATGAAAATTACGAAGTAATTCCTAACTAATGAACAATTATCTGAAACTTTTCTCTCAAGAAGAAGGGCGTACATGAACAACTACAACCTGAGAGGAAGTGTGCTTGTGTTAAAACAACAATCAAAGAAAACCACAATCAAATAAAACAGTCTTTAAGAAGAGGGGAAACAGTCCAGCTAAGATTATCACAGAGAATTTCACGGAAGCTCTTTCTTTCCAGGTTTTAAAAAAATAATCATGGCCGGGCAAGTGGTGGCAGACACCTTTAATCCCAGCACTCAGGAGGCAGAGGCAAGTGGATCTCTAAATTTGAGGCCAGCCTGGTCTACAGAGTGAGTTCCAGGAGAGCCAGGGCTACACAGAGACACCCTGTCTCAAAAGAAAAAGAAAAAAAAAAGATGGAAAAGAAAAAAACAAGCATTATTTGGTGCTGGAGAAATGGCTCCGTAGTTAAAAGCACAGGCTGTTCTTCCAGAGGACCCAGGTTCTAATCCCAGCACCCAGGTGGCGCCTCACAACCCTCTGTGACTCCAGTTCCTAGGGAATCTGACGCCCTCTTCTGGCCTCCACAAGCACTGCACACAAGAGTGCGCACATGCACGCAAGTAAAACAGTAACACATAACATGAACATGTAATTAAATAAATAAAAACAGCTCTAAGTGGTCAGAAAGAAGGGGGGATCGAGGGCTTCCAAACAGGGTGACAGATAAAAGATAGAAGAGAAAAGGGAAATGAGTGAAGGACAGACGAGTGAGTTTGGAGGATTAGTCTACCTTACAGGTGTATTGGGACTCATCCTGGCCCAGGATGAGGAACGGCTCTAGACAGGCCTGCTCAGTCCCTGAATGCCAGGACAGATGTCACATGACCCAGTTCCAACCATGTGGGCCCAGGGGGCTCAGGTCTCTGTTCAGGCTCCTACACAGGCCTCAACTTTAGCCTCTTTTTACCTGCTCCTGAGAGGATGTGGAAGGATCCCCAGAGAGAGAAGTTGGCTCCAGGGGAGCAAAGGAGAGAAGTGGGCAATGTCAGCCATCTGTGGCCTTAACCTGAAGGGCTTACTCTTAGCAGCAGCCTTGGCCCTGAGCTGCTTCCAGCAGAAGACATATCATGGTACCCATAACGTGGCAGCACAGCAGGGCTGGGGAAACCACACTTACTCATCCAGTTTCGGACATTGAGGAAACTTTGCTCATTTGTCAGGTCGAACAGAAGCAGGAAACCCATAGCGTCCCTGAAGAACGCGGTGGTCAAGCTACGAAACCTAGGGCACAAACACAGACGGTCATTAATGAATGGGGGTAAAAAAAAGAAAAAGGAAAGGAGAAGAGATGAGTGCTCCTAGGTAGATGGAAGAGAAAGTTTATTACAGGTATGTGGGAGAGCGTAGCCACAGACATATCTGGGATTGTCCAGAGTGGTCATGACCCTGAACCATATAGGGAGAGGGGAAGGGGAGAAGAGAGAGGGGAAACCACATATAGCAGCGAGGAGGCCAAAGGTACAAAAATCGGGGCATGTAACCAAAATGTCTGGATTCTATAGGGAAGAGCCTCTGGGGGAAGGGCAGCCCTGCCCCTGGCTAGAGAGTTCAGAGGACAGGGTGTGGCAGGTAGCCCACACCCTGTAACTGGTAGGGACTGAAGGATGCTGGGAGAACCCAGAGACCAGGTCTGTCTTGATATGTTCAACAGGCACCTCAGCTGCTGGTCCTGGGTTTGAATCTTAACTACTAAGTCACGGACCTGCTCCTGAAATGCAAAGCCACCGATGACACCCTCTGCCTTCTACACAGGTTCCTCAACAACTCCCGGGAAGATCTCTCACACAGGTGTTCATCACTCCCATGAGTTCATGTGTGAACAGAAAGTGTTACCGAGCCGGCTGGGCAGGAGCTCAACCGGGAACTCACTGGACAACCCTGAGTTCAATGGGCCAAAAGCCACCGTACTGGCCATGTGTGTTTTCCTTCTGGGGAGGCCTCACGGCACTACAGGGCAATCTGGTCCCCAGGTCAGGCTCTGCAGAAGTCTCCTGTCTCACAGGGCTGTTTCCTCGCCTCTAAGGTGGGAATGGAAGTGAGGAAGACTTGGCTCTTGCCTGTAATCCTCCGAAGGCTTTACCAGCTGTCGCTTCTATTCCTCCTGCGGTTTCCTCTCACGTTGCCTTCATGCACAGCCTGTAAGCTGGCAGGCAGGCTCCTCGGAAGGAGATGGTATACGTTAACCGCTATTCAGAAATAGGAGGTTTTCCTCAATTGTCGTATTCAACGTTCTTACAAAAAAAGTCTTTCTTGTTTGCGTGCTCATACCAAAATAGCTACAGATCACACAGTGAGATGGCTAAACTTTGCCCTCCGGGCAATATGGAGGGAGGGAAGGAGCAGTGTTAGGGGGATATATGAAATTAGATTAGCCACAACATGGTAATTATTGAAACGGAGGAAAGGGACAAAGATTCAACCGAATCTCCACTTTTGTATACATTTGGAGATTTCTATGTTTTTGTTTTGTTTTGTTTTATCCTTTAAAGAAGGCTGGAGAGATGGAGATTGGAGAGATAGCTCAGCAGTTAAGAGCACTGGCTGCTCTTCCAAAGGACCTGGGTTCAATTCCCAGACACCCACATGGCAACTCACAACTGTCTGTAACTCCTGTTCCAGAGGATCCGATGCCCTCACATACAGTCCGATGTCCTACATGCAGTCAAGAAGGCTGGAGAGATAGCTCAGTGGTTAAAGCGCTTCCCACGCAAGCTTGAGAACCAGAGAGTTTGGATCCTCAGAACCCACATAAATGCCAGGTGGGCATAGCAGACGCAGACCACCTGTAACTCAGGCACACAGGAGGCAGAGATGGGGCAGCTTCTCAGAACAAGCTACCCAGCTAGAACAGCTGTGTCTGTGAGTACGGGGTTGAGGGAAGAGACCCCGCCTCAATGAATAAGGTAGAGAGCAACAAGGAAGAGTCCTGATGTCAACGTTGGGCCCCCCACATGACACATGTGCCTGTATACCCACAGAAGAACATGCACACAAACACACATACACACGCTCCTTCAAGGAGACTTCGGGAGAAATCAGGCTATAGCTGACTGAAAGCAGCCTTGTACCAACATGTCGTGTGGTTTATTTTAGTCAAGTAACCTCTGACCAGATTAATTCATTCCAACTAGATGTTCAACCAGGCTTCAGCATCAGATAAGAACAATGCAGGCAGCCTTAGAACTCCCTTACAGGTGAGGCAAGAGCAAAAGGCCACGGGGGAAAGCCTGAAGCCTAAAATGGCGGAGAAAAAAAAAAAGAATGAATCCCAAGTAAAAAGGTTTAATTTTAAGAAGATTCACATCTCCTCTGACCTTGGAGAAAATATGCCGCCACTGCCACCTCAGGATGACAAAGCACTGATCTGGCAGCTCATCTTACCTGGTGCGGATGAGCCAGCTGGCTGCTTTTCCCTGCCCAGGTCAGCCTGAGAACACACTGAAGAGGACCTACCTCTCCTGCCCCGCCGTGTCCCATAACTGCAGGTGGATTCTCTGGCCTCGGCCCACAGCTCCGTCTGGTCCATTAGCTCTGTATACCTAAAACAGCAAAGCAAAGATAAATCAAAGGAAATTCTGAGACCGGTGGGTTCTGGATCCTTCCTTTCTTTCTTTCTCTCTCTCTCTTTCTTTCATTCTTTGTTTTTTGAGACAGGGTTTCTCTCTGTAAAACCCCTGGCTGTCCTGGACTTGCTTTGTAGACTACACTGGGCTTAAACTCACAGAGATCTGCCTGTCTCTGCCTCCTGAGTGCCGGGATTAAAGGCATGCATCACCACCACCAGCCAGTTTCTACAAAACAGCAAAGATTAACACTCCTCAAGAGAATTGAGTCCCTAATACAACCAGGTGTGGACTTTGGTGCAATACCTACATTTATACAATGGTGTAAAGGCCTCAGCTAAATGCCTTCTAAGAAGACATATATCTAGCTGGGGGGTGTAGCTCAGTTGGCAGAGTCCTGCCTGGCATCCACGAAGCTCTAGGCTCCATCTCCAGCACCAAAAAGCCAGGCATGGTGGTACATGCCTGCATTCGTAGCACTTGGGAGGTGAGCGACAGAATGATAAAAAGGCCATCCTTGGCTGAATATCAAATTCGATTTGAGGCAAGCCAAGAACATATGAGTCCCTGTCTCCAAAGCACCAAAAACAATAAAGTAAAAATAATTCATTTTATTCCAAGAAATATTGACTTTCTGTGGCTTTTCCTTTTCTCATCTTTAGAAAGGGCTCTTAAAACAATTGTCTTAGAGACCGGAGAGATGGCTCAGTAGGTAAATGTGCTTGCAACTAAGCCAGGCAGGCCGAGTTCAATCCCTGGGGCCCACATGATAAAGAGAACCAACTCCCACAAGTTGTCTTCTGACTTCTACACATGAACCAGGGCACGTGTGCGCACACATATACAATAGATATTTAAATAAATACAAAAACTAGCGGCTTTATGCAGAGACACTTCTGTCCTAGCACTCAAGAGGCAGAGGTGGGCAAAACACTGTGAGCTCCAGACGCAAAGGGGCTAAAAGCAGGTCCCAGGCTCTCCAGGGCTACACAGTGAGACCCTGTCTCAAAGAGACAGAGATGGAGGCGGCGGGGGGGGGGGGGGAACAGACACAGACAAAGATAGCAAGACAGAGACACAGAGAGAGAGGTCACGACTTAGAGGTGTAGTTCAGCAGCTTCCTGGGGCAGCACTGCCTTACTACGTATGAGGCTCCAGGCCTAATCCTGGGCACCACCCACGACAAAGGAAGGAACAGCAAATGAACCACCACGACAGCTATGAGAACCTCAGGCCAGCAGCCACTGCAGAGCAGGGGGAGACCGGTTTGGAGATTTGTCAGAAAGCTTCCTAGAGAGCCCATCCCCAGGTTTATCTCTAGAGAACCCCGTTCCCAGGCTTGTTCCCAGGAACCCCATCCCCAGGTTTGTCCGTGGAGAACCCCATCCCAGGCTTGTGCTCTCACAAGAGCTTGCTCATGAGAAAAGCCCCAGACCTGTGAACAGCAGCTATTGCCGTTATTTAATAGCATGCTGACTTCCCAGGGTGGCAACACCAGCTGTGGCTAATACATGTCTAATCTCTCTGATTGTCTCCAAAAAGTAACTTAAAAAAAAAAAAAAAAGCCTAGTGGAGATGGCATATGCCTTTAATCCTAGCACTAGAGACATGAAGATCTCTGTGAGTTAGAGGCCAGCCTGGTCTACAGAAGTAGTTTCAGGACAGCCAGGGCTACACACACACACACACAATCCTATCTGGAAAAACAAAAACAAGAAAATGTCACAGAAAGATTTCTTTTGGGGTTTGGTGTGTTGGTTGGTTAGCTTTTGCTGTTTGCTTTGGTTGGTTCTTTTTCCCAAGTCAAAGTCATATTGTTATGTAGCCCAGGCTAACCTGGAACTCACTCTGTAGGCTGGGATGAGCTCAAATTTGCAGTTGTCCTCCTGCAAGTTAAAATAATCAAACACATCCAGTTTTAGGGCTGCATAGGCTATCTAAACTCTCTAAACTTAATGAAGACATGGAGTGGAGTTGGCTGGGTGAGGAATGGGAGCATCAGTCAGACCAGAGCAGGACAGCAATAAGATCTCTGAAAGAGAATTACAGGGACCTATGTAGACAATGAAAGCAAGAACAGGCTCCCTGGGTTGGAGGCCTCTTGTTCCCAGAAGATGCTGCAAAGAGAAATAGGGGGAAGGTAAGGTGGTACCCAGATGTCTAAACAGGACCAATAGGGAAAAGGAAGGACCCAGGGCCCTGTAAAACATCCAAGCCAGCTCCATTTTGCAGACTGCCAGCCTTGGACAACTGCCAATCCAAAGGGATAAAAGCTGTGACTCCCCCTTTCTCAAAAGCGCACCAGGGACCAAGCTCAGCCATCGCCTGGATGACCACCAGCAGCTCCAGTTACCATGGTGACTAGGCACCTCATGCTAAAAAAGCCCTCTATAGAAATAGAAGTAGGGCAGTAGCACAGCTTCTTGACTGGATTTCAGGGCTGGGAAAGAAAAGTAAAGAAATAGAAGTAGTGCTAACTTTAGATATAGCAATCCCCTGTGTACTGTATGCAATTTGTGCGGTTTGATGTCCTGAGTAATGATGTGAAAGGAATGTGGTCATGCATGTCTTTAATCCCAGCACTTGGAGGCCGAGGTGAGTAATCTCCGTGAATTCCAGGCCAGCCTAGCCTACATGGCTGTCCTAGTCTTCTAGGACAGCCAGGACTAGTGAGACCCTGTCTCAAACAAACAAACAAAGCAGGCAGTGGTGGTGCATTCTTTAATTCCACCCTCAGGAGGGAGAATCCCTGAGTTTGAGGACAGCCAGGGCTACACGGAAAAACTGTCTCAAAAACAAAAACAAAAACAAAAAAACCCCATACAATTAAGAAATTTTCTGTATTGATAAAAATACGTTTTTCATATGTAAATATTTCTAATAATAAATGCTAAAATAGCAAGAACCCCTGCTTACGGCCTCAGCATATATGGCCTCTGAGGGTAGTCTTATTCCTTCCTGCTGTAAACCTGTAACTTATGGAGAAGTTCACAAACAAGATTTTTCCTTTTTTTTTTTTTTTTTTGTGTGTGTGTGTGTGTGTGTGTGTATGTGGTCAAAACTTAGGTCTTAAGTTCCTTGTGACCCAATGGAGTAAGGATTCTTTCAACCCTTGTGGCCTGTGGTTTTGTACACCATTCTGTAATCCTGACCAATATGCCTTGGGAACCACCTACTTATCTCTTACTAAAAGGAAAACTAAGAGGTTTTGTTTCTTCTTTCTTCCAGAAGCACTTGAAACATTTACCTCAAAAGCTACCAATCATGCATGGCCATGTATTGCTAAGACACTTCAGAGCAATTCCTCCACTTGTATCTCTAACTCACTGCTCTAAGCACCAATCCTTTCTCCCGACTAGTGCCTGTGTTCAAGCCTTTTCCTAACAAACTCCAGCTTTGCTTTGTAAAAAATAAAACAATGGAAATGAAATCTATACCACATTGAAAACCGAATATTTACAGAAGTATCTTTTGTCATGGCTAAAAAAGAAACAATAAAAACGTCCATCAGTACCAAAGAGATAACTTTGGCATGATGGCACAGTGGAATAGTATTCTGCCATGGCTCAGTTGAGAGCACTGGCTGTTCTTTGAGAGGACCTGAGTTCAGTTCCCAACACCCACATTAGGGAGCTTATAACGTAACAGTAGCTCCAGCTCCAGGGGATCCAATGTCAGGGGATCTTCTGGCCCCTGCAGGCACCCCTCTTCTCATTCCACATAAATATAAAGATAAAATAAGCTTATTTTAAAATGGATTCTGTCTGATAATACTTCAATACAGAAGAACTCAAGACATTATGCTAAGTTTTAGAAGACAGATGCAAAAGGCCTCGTATACAACAGATCCGGAATTAGGCAACTCTAAGGATTTTCACAGTGGCTGAAAGGAGGAGGGATTGTGATGATGTTATGGGGGTTTATTTCTGTGATGATAAAAATGTTCATGCTGGGCAGGGTGATGAAGACCTTTAATTCCAACACTCAGAGAGATCTCTGTGAATTCAAGACAGCCTGGTCTACGCAGCAAGTTCCAGACCAGTCAGAGCTACACAGTGAGACCTTGTCTCAAAAGAAAAAAAAAACAGTTCTAAAACTAAATAGTTGCTGGTGGCACATGCTTAGAACCCCAGCACTCAGGAGATGAGGCAAGGGATCGGTTCAAAGCAGCCTCAGCTACACAAGACCCTAAAAAACTAAATGATTTAAGCTGGAAAGTGCCTCCATGGTTAAGAGCACTGGCTGCTGCTGTCGAGGACCGGGGTTCGGTTCCCAGCACCCATACAGTGGCTCACACCATTTATAACTCCACGTATAGGAAATGTGACACTTTCTTCTGGCATCTCTGGGCTCCAGGCACATATGTGGTACACACATATATCACAGACATATGCAGGCAAACACACACATAAAAACAAAAAATAAATTAACCCAAAAACCTAAATAAACTGAGTGCAGTGGCACACACCTGTAATTCCACCGGGAGGTAGAAGCAGGTGAATCTCTGTAAAGGTGAGGCCAGCCAGGTCTACAAAGGGAGTCCAGGACAGCCGGGGCTACACAGAGAAACCCTGCCTTGAAAAACAATAAAAGCCTAAATAAATCAACAAACAAATATGCAAATAAACAGTTGTGATGGTGATATCACATGAATATGCTAGGGGAAAAAAAAATCTGTAAACAAGTGGGTTTTACTTGTTGAGAATTATACATCAATCAATCTACTTTAGAGCAAAGGGAAGAACTGGAGTTGCCCTTTGGTGGCAGAACGCCCACCCAGCATGTGTAAAGCCCTGACTTCAACTCGGTGGTATTCAGAAAGAAAGATGTGAGCCAGAGGGGAAGCAAGGGGGGATGCTGATAGAAACGTTCCCTGCAGGGGATGCAGATGTGGCTCAGTGGTGAAGAGCATGCATGTGCTACTCTTGCACAGGAACCAAGTCTGATTCTCGGCACCTACATCCGGCGGCTCACAAACACTTGTAACCCCAGCTCCAGGGGATCCAATACATCTGGCAGCCATGGATGTACACACACATATACACATACAGAGAGAGAGACAGGGAGGGAGAGGGAGAGAGAGAGAGGAAGAGACAGGGGGAGAGAGGGAGGAAGAGGGAGAGAGGGAAGGACAGAACATATACTCATAGGGACATTCACATACACATGATTCAAAATAAGTTCTTTAATTTCAAGGGAGGAAAAAAGTAATACGCCCTTTAATTGTATCCAAAGGGTTTTATCTGGAGTGTTCCGAGCACAGCATACTTTCTTATCTATCTGTCTGTCTATCTGTCTATCTATCTATCTATCTATCTATCTATCTATCTATCTATCTATCTGCTATGTAGACCTGGCCGTTCTCAAACGCAGAGCTCTGCCTCCCTCCACCTCCAGAGCGCTGGGATTGAAGGTGGCACGGCCACACCCAGCCAGACTTTCCTATGTGCTCTCATTTTAGGTCCCAACCTTTGGCTTCTTAAGTCCTACAGAGCAAACTAAACAGGCCCTGCTGACCTGTTGACTCAGATTAGACTCTCAGGAAGGAGGTGGGACTTACCACCCTCTTTTCCCTGAAATCAATGCCCACTGTGGTGATGAACTTGGAGTTGAACTTCCCATCTGTGTACTGGTAAAGTACACTGGTCTTCCCGACTCCGGAGTCTCCCAAGGCCAAAAACTTGATGAGGTAATCATAATCTCCATCCGACATGATGGAGGGCTCTGCTTCACCTGTAAGACACAAGGAAGCGGATCAGTAAAAAAAAAAAAAAAAAAAAAAAAAAACACTAGAAATGCCGGAATGGGGGCGGGGGTGGGGGGCTCAGTGGATGAAGCACACACAGGGCTGGCAACCTGAGTCATCCCTGGAACCCACGGAAAGGTAGGAGACAGCCAAACCCACAAGGCTATCTTCTGACTGACACATACATGCCATGACGCACATACAATCATTTTGCTTAGCTAAAAAAAATATATACATATATATATATGTATATATTAGAATTTTCCATTATTAAAGTGACAATATTCTGTTCAATAAGTACTTTGCTTGCATTGTGTGGGGCTTTGTCTGTCTGCTTCTCGGTTTGTTGGAGATTTCTGGGGTTTTAAAAAAATATTTATTCTGTATACAGAATATTGTATTAGTCTGTATACAATATTCTGTATTCTGTATACAATCTAGTGCACACATGGGCACTAGATCTCATTATAGGTGGTCATGAGTCACCATGCGGTTGCTGGGAATTGAACTCAGGACCTGTGGAAGAGCAGCCCGTGCTCTTTACATCTGAGCCATCTCTCTGGTCCCTGTTTGTTTATTTTTGAGGAAGGAATCAGGTAGCTTAGGCTGGCCTAGAACTCCTGTTTACAGACGGGATGCACCACCATGCCTGGCTTCCAACAGTTATGTGAAACCTATGTGTCTAGGCATCTGTGATAGACATCGCAGTGTTCGCTGTCCCCAAGAACCTCATAACCAGCGGATGAGGTGCAGTTGGGAAAGTAAGTAAGAGTTTAGGTTTTTTTTTTTTTTTTTTTACGTTTTTAAAATTTTGTGTGTACAAGTGTGTGCCCTCATGTGTGTTTACAAGACACGTATACAATGGAAGAAGACAACGGATCCCCTGGAACTGAAGTTATAGGTGGTTGGGAGCTACCCTTTGGGTGCTGAGAATCAAACCCAAGTCCTCTGCCAGAGCAGTCAGTGCTCTTAGCTGCTGCGCCAGCTCTCAGCCTAACAGTTGGGTTTTAACTTAACATACATACTATAGGGCTATAAAGAAGGAAACTCCGAGCGGGAATGACAGTGAGAAGACTTGTAAACATGGCAGACCACATAAAACAAAAGCTGGTGAGCCAAAGGGGGGACAGCTGGGGGGGGGTGGCACCCACCTGCAATCCTAGCGTTCCAGAAACAGAGGCAGGGGGATTGCCCACGAGTTTGGGCCTAACCTGGTGTATACAGTGAGTTCTCGGCCAACCTGGGCTACAAAGTGAAAGTGTCTCCAAATATAAGAGAAAAAAATAAATAAATGGGAAAAGGGAAGCGATAGGAAGGAGAGAGGGTGAAGCATGGTAACCTCAGCAGGGGCGCAGGGGGATCCTGAGTTTGAGGCCAATCTAGGTTGAGATTTTTGTCTCAATGGAAGTGTGCAGACAGATGGGACAAGGCCTAAGTGGTAGCTCCCAGCACTCAGTGGCTGCAGTTCCTCTTTTCGGTGCTGGAGCCTGGCCTCTCCCTCTCGTCATTCTGTTTGTAATTCTGTTTGTCCTATTCAGTTTCGTGTTCAGGCATACCCACAGTGGACAGGAGATGGCTCAGTCCATAAAGCTTACTGCGCAAGCATGGGGACCTGAGTTCAGATCCCTAGCACCCATGTGACGAGACAGGTATACGCACCCTTTACCCAATCACAGGGCTGTGGGGATAGGCAGATGTGGCCAGCAAACCTAGCCAACTAGTGAGCTCCAGATTTGGTGGGGGTTCCCTGACCTCCATGTGCTCATGTCGACACGAGTGCACAAACACACACACACACACACACACACACACACACACGAAACTAGACTAGCAGCACACATCTTTAATCCCAGTGCTTGGGAGGCAAAGGCAAGCGCATCTCTGAGTTTGAGGACAGCCTGGTCTACAGAGTTTCAGGACAATCAGAGCTCCACAGAGAAGCCCAATCTGGAAAGAGAAAAGAAAGGAAGACAGACAGACAGATGGGAGAAGACAAGACAAACACAGGCCAAATCAGTCTGATGTCTTTTGTATACGCTGTCATTATTGTTTCCTATTTATTGATCAGACTGCCTAGCTGTCACGTTCTCTCAGGAAGTGGGTTCCATAGTGGAGCAGAAACCATAACCCACAGCTGACTCCACCTCCACCTGGGTTTTCTAACAGGAAGTGCTCAAAATCCTTCAAGATCAATGGAAACAAACTCCACTGTGAAGAAGATTCCGTCATCACCAGCCGGCCACAGCTGCTCTTCTCCTCTTCAAGGCTTTCATTATCTGTTTTCAGCTTCTCAACAGATGCAAATACATAATGCCAGTCCCAAGAGGAATCAGTCTCTCCTCTGGCCAGGGGTCGGGGGCGGACGACACACCTCTGATCCCAGCACTGGGGAGGCAGAGGCAGGCAGATCTCTGTGAGTTTAAGTCAGCCTAGTTTACACAGTGTTCCAGGTCAGCCAGGGCTACACATTCTCACACCCTATCCCCCTCCTTCCTTCTGCAACCCCCATCCCCACCCTCATTTCTCTCTGTGTCACACACACCTCTCTCCAGGAAAGCCCTGTCCGTGTACTCTCATTGCACATGTCCTGACTGTCTGGGCCACTCACAGCGACACCTCTTCCTGCCCGTGAAAGGCAGCGTTCACCATTGCACATCAAGTGCCCACCATGCTGCTCCCTTCCCTCACGCTCTCCTGTCTGCTTGGGTACTAGGCTCTAACGCTAGGTGCTTCCCATAGGGCTATTAGAATAGACTCATAGAATTAATGCACAGCAGGCAAGCACCTATATTCATCTTCAAGCTCACCTCTTCTACCCCAGCCTGACTCAAGTTGGTGACTCAACTCTCTCAAAAAATCCTGAGCCCCCAGAGCTGTGGCAGGAAACTTCCTCAGACAGCCTCAGCGCAGACCTGTGACCTCACCTGGCAGATGTGGCCGGCCCTGTTGATAAGGGCCAAGCCTCTACAAACATTTGCAGTTGCTGTTTGCATGATGTGAAGGGTGACACTTTACTGAGGGGAGCGGCTATCTGTGTTAATGGCTTCTGCTCGCACAGGTAGGAATGGGAAGGAGGAGCTTGAGAGGATGCAGGCCTGGCTCCAGGTTATACGTGAGCAGGAGCTAAGACACGCTCTGGTCATTTGGGAAGGTGGGGGTTCACATCGAAACAAAGGGACCCTAACTTGCAATAGGGATGACAAAGACCCTGTAGCTAGTTTATTTGTTCTTTATGTTAATTTGGGAAAAGCTGGTCAGTTATGTACCTATGTTTTATTTTCTTTTTTAATTTACAATAAGATTTTGTTTTGTTTTGTTTTGTTTTCTTGACAGGGTTTCTCTGTGAAGCCTCGGCTATCCCGGAATTCACTCTGCAGACCAGGCTGTCCTCAAATTTAAGAGATCTGCCTGCTTCCTAAAATGCTGTGTCCCCACTGACTGGCCAGACTTTTTTTTTTTTTTTTTTTTTTTTTTTTTTTTTTTTTTTTTTTTTTTTATGATGTTGCCTTTTTCTTTTGTTTTATTTTTCAAGACAGGGTTTTTCTGTGTAGCCCTTACTATCCTGGAAGCCTCAAACTCATAGATCTGCCTTCCTCTGCCTCCTGGGATTAAAGATAGGTGCTACCACACTGGCTGTGTTTTGTTTCTTTGGTTTGCTTTGTTTTTCAAATGAAGAAAAATAAAGCCGCCAGGCCCAGCGGCACTCGCCTGTAATCCCAGCATTCTGGGAGGCAGAGGCAGGCAGATCTCTGTGAGTTTGAGGCTAGCCTGGTCTACAAAGCAAGTTCTAGGACAGTGAGGATTACACAGAGAAACTCTGTCTTGAGAAAACAAAACAAAAGAAAGAGAGAGGAAAGGAGGGAGGAAGAAAAGAAGAGAAAAGAAAAACCCTAAGGGCTACAGAGATGGTCTACAGGGGTGCTGGTGGTTCCAGGCACACACGTCAGGTAGATCACAGATGCCTGTAAATCAGGCTCTAGGGTCTGACACCCTCTTCTGTCATCTTCAGACAGTGCGGCAAGGCACAAACCCGTATACACAAAAATAAAAATTAAAAGATCTTTAAAACAGAGAGATGACAATACATCATCTCACACAACTGTTCTGAGGACAGAAAGAAATGTTTTTAGTGGAGTATTACCCAGCACACTCCTTTGTGGCCTAACAGCCCGTGACTGTCACAGAACTGCAAGGACATGCCCAGAACCTCATCTCCATTAAGAAGACTAACTAAATAATCAAGCTAAGGATGTGCTAAGGGCATATTTCTAACTCCGTCTTTCCTGGAGGAGATGCTGTGTCAGAGCCTCCATCAGCTCAGAAAGATCAAGGCACCTCCAGAGTCAGCAGACTTTCCTACTCAGCTGGCCTCTCTCTCCTCCTTACACAAATATTTTTCAAAGTGCTCCCCACCCTCATTCTCATCAGACTAACAATAAAAAGCACAGAACACCCATTTCCTCAACACGAACCACGTGTTAGATAAGTGCCTCAAAGGCAAAGAGTTTCCTTATTAAAAAAAGAAGAGGAAGGCGGGGCCTGATGGTGCAAATCTGGAATCCTAGCTACTCCAGAGACTAAGGCAGGAGGACAGAAAGGGCAAGGCCAGCCTGGGCAATTGAGACCTCACCTCAGAATAAACAGTAGAAAGGACCCTGAGAATACTGTCTAGCAGTGTGAGGCCTTGGGTTTAATTCCTACTACCCAAACTAACAGGAACACAATAAACAAAAACTCTAACCATAGTTTAATTGTTTTCCACAGAGTGAAAAAGGAAAGTGGTTTCAGCTCAGACAAAAGGGAGAGATGAGCTTCAGCAGACCATGCCTCTAACCCCCAAGATTCAGTAGGCTGAAGAAGGAAAGGTTGCTGGGTCGCATAGCAAGAAAAAAACCAAAATGAAATACAAGTTCTTTACAGTAGCCTCATCTCCTTGGCTCTAACATGGAGGCAGCAGCCGTTGGCTCTGAGAAACACCCTGACGATA